ATTGTTAGTAGAAAATACAGTCTGTTGATTGGTTGTTTCTCACAGAAAGTTAACCTTGCATCTCTTTGTGGCTGTGTCAGATCATCTATATGCTAACTGTATCCGCCTACGCAAAGTCTGCTGTCCATCTTTGACCTCGTTTTCACATGACTAATATTTGAGACATAAACATTGACGTCAATTACTGTCTACCAATTTGGCTAGCAACTATCTCTGACCACACTCGTCCCCCCGTCAAACAGCTTCGCGCGCAGGCGTTCCGACCTTCTGGGTGATGCATCCCCTAGTTGATGATTGTTACAGACCGGCTTGTCCCAATGCACTCATCGTTGGATCTGACTGGCGTTAACTCGTTTTTGTTTATCACCTCTTCGGATGGTATGTACTTGACCCCGTCTTTTTGTGACTGTGTATGGTCCTTCCCACTTTGGAAGGAATTTTCGTGAACCTGGCCCGCACCCAACAGCATATCTTCTGTCTCTACACATCACTTGGGCCCCGACTGCAAAGGTAATGCTCTGAGTCTTTTCTCTCAGCTGAGACTTCACGACATCCCTCCGTTGCTTCTGCATTACATTCTTGACGGTTTCTTTCCGTTCTGCTTTTAATTTCGCCGGACTCCGCTTTTGGTGAAGGAGCCAGGTCTCGTTGTGTATCGGTAATCGTGGTTTTCTACCATACATCAGTTGAAAGGGAGACTTTTTCGTTGTTTCCTGGGTGGTGGCACGACAACAGTTAGTCTAAACCACGTAGGAAGGTGTAGACTTTCTGGTTGGGGTCCTCGGCACGGTTAAAACCAATGGGGGCTGGAGACAATAGGTGATATGGCTCAAAATCCTCGTTCTCAATGACTGATGCAGATGCATCGACTCCTTGTGACTTATAATACCCAATCAAACTATGTTGTTCCCCTTTATCACTATCTCATATCCCTGTCTACTGTCTCTATTTTGCAATTCTTCTCTTGCTTTGTGTGCTACATGGCGAGAGTGTGGCGACTTGAAGTGCTGCACATCAGTGCAGAGTTGTAGGTGATGCCTGTTGTCCGATTTGACAGAGGATCCTGACGTTAAAAGCTCCTAAATGAAGTTGGCGACGTGGCTTTAAAAGGCTACATGGGTTGTTTCTATAGCTATCATCGTTGTTTGTGGGCACAGAGTGAAATGAAGATGACCCACTAGCCTGAAGAATAGTGCTGACTGTAGTAGGGAAGTAAGATGAGGTGATGTGAGTAAAGGAGAATGATGCTCAGGAAGGCTTCGTGTACTCTTGGAAGTGTGTGGGCGGTTGTTATCTCCCGGCTGCCCACACCGTGTAAGTTGATTGATCCTTCAAGTACCTGAAACAGAAAGAGGATTAGTATTGCGTGACCGCAGAGCCCAGGGGACAACTGCTTAATGCTGGCCGGTCACACACGGCCTGTATGAACTGGTTTCTGAGATTGGTTCCGTATCAGTAAACTAACCGCCGGTTACGGACCACCGTTGGTTTAGTAAGTCGAGATGTACAATTTTTGGAGTGAACCTTTTCTAACCCCCTCTCTCCGGAGTGGAGAGACAGCATAGCTGGCTGGCATGCTGGTCATCTGAGGGAAACACCTCACTACTGTTAAACCTCTGTTCCCCAGCAGTACAACTTCGCCCTCAGACCCCCAGCATAGTGTAAGAAGGATTCTTAGACAATGCCTGTAACTGCTTTTAATCTAATCGCTATCCTAACAACCTTCCTGGCATGGTAGGACCTGCAGGAACATTGGTTCCAGCCAGTGCAGCTTGTTGGATCATTGCGATATGCAAGGCCGACCAACAACACGTCAAGGTAGCAGCTATCGGTTGGGAGTCAATCTGGTAGTAGATCGGGGTCAATTAATTAGATTATTGGAACATAGAAATTTAGTTAGACCAAGAATAATTGACTCTGCTAAACAAGTTAAATAACCTAGAAAAGAGTTCAGCTATTGCATTGTATTCACTTGCACGTAGTCACAAAATACGGTGAGTGGGACAAGGTAAGAGTATTAAAAAAAAGTAACACATAGTTAGGTGGAGAGAGAAAGGTTAATCACTTCTTAATCTTTGTTTATCGATTCAACACCGCACAACACTTTCAATCGATGCAATCATGCAACGCCGCCTATACCGAAGATATGGAAAGTAGCAACAACCAATAATAGGAAGTTGGTAAAACGGAAAGAGAGAAAATTCTGTGACTAAAATTGATATGATTATGAGAGCAGTAATCACTTATGCTCTGGAAACCTTATCATCCTATTGGTATATATCCTAGCATCATCATCATCATCGTCACCACTAACTGTGGGTGGGTTACATTAAAATAAACTTATTTTCAGGTATTGGTGGTTTGCAGGGGAATTTTTTGTTTGATTGGGTCAGAGAATTTCATCATGATGAACTGATATCGGTTGGAGAACCACCACCATTGGAAAACCTGCAGGGAGTACTAGACAGCTTTTTCGTCCTAGATTGAGACTTTTTATCGGTACGCAACAGTACACAACAGGTCGAAAGTGAGGACAGTGTTACTCACCGAAGAATTCATTGCTAAGTGGTTGGTCGCGCGTTATATTTCATGAATTCGCAGAAGCCATTGGATCGGGTCCCAGAGGCTACTCAATGGATCTACAAGCTCGCTGGTCTTGTAACCAGAAGGTCCGCACAGTTCGAATCTTGGTGGTAGGTGCGTACTGATGAAGAGCCCAAAAACTAGGCTGACGAAACAACTGTCCAGTACTCTTTGTGACTGGTTTTCTATAATAGTTCTCTAACCTATGTCATCTCATGATGATGCAATCCTCCAACCAATCAATCAAACAGACTTTTATCTCTATAAAGATGGAATGAACACTTTCACTATTCATCTATGAAATGAACACTAATCATTAGAGAAAGTGGCCAAGTTAAACTTTAGACACCAATAACTACAAATCAGCGATGACGTCGAATTATCCAATGAGATTCACGAACGTAGCTCAGTGTTGTATAGCGCTTGATTCATTTCAATGTGTGCCCTTACAAGGTTACGTTTGCAGTTCGAGGAGGATAGTGTAGTTCAGTATTGCCTAGACTTAGGCTTGCTAAGAAAGGAAAGAAAGTGTTCCTGTGGTGGTGTTATGACTCTAAATAGCCATTCGAGGTCAATTGATAGATTTGTCCATCGTTGTGGAATATGTTGGAAACGAGTTAGTATTAGAGAGGTTAGCTGCTAATTTTAATATTTCATAGGAACTTTTTTACTAGGTCACATCTCTCTGTAACCCAAATTTTGTAGAGATATCACATCATGGAAAATGGACAGAATTACTCCGCTGTTAGGCGGGGAGGACGTAGTAGTCCATGTAGACGAGACATGTTGATAAAGAAGAAATAAAATCGGGGTCGTCAGAGAGCAAACAACGTTTGGGTTATCGGTTTATACGACACGTCCCTTCGAAAAGGGTTTGTTGAAAGGATAGGAGACAGGAAGGCGAGCACTTTGATGCCTATTATCACTCGACTTGTCAAAAGGGGATCCATTGTGCATACGGACGAGTGGAAAGGCTATGATTCCTTGTCATCTCTGGGTTACATTCACCATTGAGTGAAACACTCGAATGATTTCGTCGATCCTGTTACTGGGACTCATACGAATTCAATTGAAGGTTTTTCGGGGAGAAAGTAAAAAATAGGGTCCAGGCTATAAATGGATCGCAAAAGGATGTGATTTTTAGTCATTTAAACGAATATATGTACAGAGATTGTGGTGCGATTTTTCTATTGACAGTCCCATGTTGAATTGGGAGATGTTTTTGTCCCATGTTCGGGAAAGATACCAATTTTAACGGTTTTTTTTACTTTTTTCTATGCATTTTTGTACAAATATACGCTTCCACTTATCATAAACGCCTCTTTAATGTGATGGGTCTGTTCAAGGTCGTTTGCTGATTGGTTGTTATTGGTGTCGAAAGTTTAATTTTGCCGAGAAAGTCAAAAATATAGGAAAAGGCAAGAGGTATTATTATTATCGTTATTATTATTATTTCATTCATGTTTAAAAGTGTTAGAAAATGGGTTACATAAAATTATTTGAAAATGAAAAGATAAACAAAATAATTCATGTACATACATCACATACACACACAAACATTCATACAGACAAAGGAAATGTTCTGTTTCCTTTTCATAAAAAACATATTTCACTGTAAAACATATATATATATATATATATAAATGTAAGATAGAGGAAAACAGTAAAACGTGAGGAAAAAATTGAAAAGAAAAATGAAAAAAAACGAAGAAAAATAAAAACCCAGATGAAAGCGAAATCTCATTTATCTGTGCAATGTGAATTAATGTAGTGTGTACTGATGGTTCGACCACAATAACAAGTTGTGTGTTTTTTTTAAAATGAATTTTGAAAAGGCTTATGATTTCTCTCTATCTTTCTGTCTGTCTGTACAGATTAAAATAATGAACTGTGTGCGTCAGTGGCTGGCTGGCTGACCTACCTACCTGTAGAATGCTTGCCAACCAACCAACCGACCTACTACGCCACCGCATGTGGTTTAGGGTTCGAGCTCACCACCACCACCACCACCACCAACTGACACACTCACTGCCTCACCTCGCCTCGCCTCGGTAAGCCAGTAATAAAGACGACTGGTAAAGATTGGGGAAAGTTCGTTGGACATGTGTGGGGCAATCTCACATCCCGTAGGTACAACAAATACCACCACTGCGCTACAGAGACTTCAACAAGCCTCTAGCTTGAAATCCTGTGTGTGTTCCACAGAAGGACGTGAAGAGATAAAAATGATGTGAAGAGATTAGTGGGCACCACCAGCAGTGTGGTATTCAAAGTATGAGATAATAAATAAACACACATAGATAATAAGCAGAGAAAAAAAAGGGGACAATAAAATCAATTGGGAGATATTAAAATTACTACTAATACACAAGCAACTTGTATTCGTATTATTACAATTACTACTACTACTAATACTATTACATTGGTTTATTGATTGCAAAGGGATTGAATACACCAATTGATGATGGAGTTTGTGAACGAATTTGTGATGCATTAAATGTAGGGAATGCTGATTGACGCAGTGGTAATGCACCTTGTGGAGGTCGTGTGGATGATGATAGAGAATGAGGTGGAAGAGGAGCAGAAGGATGAGGTGGGGGTGGTGGTGGTGGTGGTGGAACTGTACTCATCATTGACCAAAAATCATTCGGTGGATGTTGTTGTACAAGTTGTGGTGGTTGTAATCGCTGTTGTCGTAATTGATTGTTGATTATCACAGATTTAGACCAATCTGATGGTGTAGAAGGGATTTGTTGTATATTTCCAGGTAGAAGAGAAGACATTGCTGGACGTGTTTGTTGTTGTTGTTGCTGGTGGTGGTGATGGTGTTGTGGAGAGATCATAAAACCACCAGGAGGTAATCCTCTAGGAGGTAATGAAATTCTCGGAGATTGATAAAACATTAAACCACCGCCAGCAGCGGCACCACCACCAGGAGGCACCTGGAAATTGTAAAAACAAGATATTTAATAATAATAATAATGATAATAATTTTGCTTTACTTCCAAAAACAGTACTAATGATACAGTGTAGAATTCTCAGCATTTGCTACAATATTGTATCTAATTTTATCGAACAAGATTAAAAACAATTTTAGGAATAATATCACAGGATTGTTAATAACAGTTCTTATTTGGTATTTGTAGTGACAGTGCAGTCATATGTATATATAACAAAAAAAAATCGTAAGTGATAACAATATGTCAATTTTCTCAGTAATTATGATGCTACTTTGTTTGAGTTTTATCCGTCCCCCTGTTTATTATGGCATTTTAATTCCTAATTGTAGTTTTATTAATCTGATGCCTGACCGGAAATTATTCTGGAACTTTCCCACCGAGGCATAAAATGGACTCACACAAAAAACTTGGAGGATCTGAACTTCGCCGATTTGATATATGAATGATTTCCCACAAACTGGAAGATATGCAAGCGAAAAGCAACAAGTTGGCACAAGAAGCACCAAAGAAAGGACTTCAGGTGAACATAGAGAAAACAGAGCTGATGAAGATTCCTGGCCAACACCACCACCAACAGCAACAACAACAACAGACAACAGTCAGCCAGCATAAATCGGAGGAATCTGATCGAAGCAATCTCCTCTACCATTTACCTGGAAAGCATCGTTTCAACTACAGGCCGACGGAACTGACGAGGATATCAAAGCAAGAATCATCAGAAAAGCAAGACAAGCTTTCACTACTCTCAAGTCTGTGTGGAGGTCAACAGCACTACTCAGCATCAAAACGAAGATAAGATCCGGATTTTCAACTCCAATGTGAAGTCAGTGCTACTCACTATACGGATCAGAGAATTGCACTTCGCGTCATAAAGAGCATCTCAAACAAACTACAGACCTTCATTAACAGTTGTCTTCGCTCAATACTCAAGATCAGATGGCCAGAAAAGATCAGCAACAGAGATCTCTGGCAATGAGCGAACCGACACAGCAGGAATCGATTGTGAAACAAATAGGCAGGAAGAAATGGAGATGGATTGGCTGGCCATACTCTGAGGAAACCAACCATCAAGTGACATCACTAGACAAGCCATTGCTCGAGTGGAACCCGAAAGGGAAGTGGCGAGTTGGTCGTCAGTGCGAAGGTGGGGTGACTTGGAGGAGGTCATGTGAAGAGGAGATGAAAACGTGTGGGCAGACTTGGAGCCAGGTGAAGACTCTAGCAGAGAACCGAAAGGAATGGAGACGCACGGCTGAAGCCCTATGTTCCTCTAGGAATTAATATATAATATATATATATATATATATATATATACATACATATACGAATGTACAGCCTAGTTGATGACTTCGTCGAAAAGAAAATTTCCTTCGCTGCAACCATCATCTTTTTAACAATAATACTGTTAATAGGTAAGATTGTCAGTTAATTGAGATATTTTCACGCATAGATTAGAAATAGTAGAGATAATGAGAGAGCCAATTATTTTGCTAACAACAAAGTAATTCATGGGTTTCGCGCTTAACATTCTCTCTCTATCGCATAGACAGAACACATGCTGGTCAAATAAGGTATCGTTGAGTTCCTGTACTTAAAATAGTATGAGTATACAATGTTTTGTACTGATTTCTAGTTCTCCTAGACGAGATACAAAGGAAGGGGGGGGGAGAGTTTAGAGCACTTCTCACAAGAGTTCAGATTTCTGTCAACCAATGTAGTGACAAGCTGACTGACTAAGTTGCCTACCACTTGGCCTACTGACAACCTTTAATACCCTTCACAATATGAGATAGTCCTTTTATAGTAGTAGCCCAGGAAAGACTAATAGTGGGGAGCAGTAAAGTATCATGGGTAAGATACAATAGCTAACAAATTGTAAAAGTAGAGGTTGAGTGATTTCAGATTGTCTTAACTTTCTCAATAAACTAGCTAGGACGGAACATTTTCTTGGAGATCGACAAAATATGGAATGACCAAGTAAGGTTAGTGCAAAGAACTATACCAAGTTATTTCCTGTTAGAGGCAAAGTTAAACTTTAAGTACCACTCACTAACTACCAATCAGCGTACTACCTTCAACGAACCAATCACATGAAAGAGGGATTTTTGACAAAGGAAAACGTATATTTATGGTGAGAAAAAAAGCATAAAAACTGCATAAAACGGTTACATAGGGTATCTTTCTCTAACATGTGACAGAAGCATCCCCCAATTTAGCATAGGAGTGTCAATAGAAAAGTCACAACACATTCTACACATATATTCATCCAAATGACTATAAATGACATCCTTTTGAAAACCATTTATAGCCCTAATCTTTCCCAAAGTCCTTCTATAGAATTCTTTCTGTAATGGAATGCACAAAATCACTAGAATGGTTCACTCTGTGATGAATATATCCAAGGCATGACAGTGAGTTATAACCTTCCCATTCATCAGTATGTACCACAGATCCCTGTTTCACCAGTCGAGTGACAACAGGTACTAAGGTAGTAGACTTTCTGTCTGGAATTCTCTCCACGAATCCTTTCTGCAGGGAGGTGTCATATAAACCGACCACCCAAACATTGTTGACTCGCTCACGACCACGGTTGTTTTTTCTTCAGTAACACAGTTTCGTCTACGTGTGCGACGACACCTTCTCCGCTCAACAGCGAAGTAATTCTCTCCATTTTCTTTAAGGAATACTTTTGATTGGACACTAGTTACTAGTAACTACTATAAAGTGTCTAGTGCTTGGTGTCGGTGAAAAATGAAATTCTATCAGTCAATTAAGTTTTCAATGAAGCCACCATACTGACATTAGTGGCAAATCACAGCATCCAATACACTTTTACAGGAAGTCAATCATGAGTCCAAATAACTCAGTGGTAACGTTTCTGACAGCAGCACGGGATGAAATGGGTTACAATCTAAGAAGGAACATGAATTCCTTGAAGATTTCAGGTACGTCTTGCTGACGAGTGCCTCCAACCCTTGTAAATTAATCGGATGCTTGCTAGTGACTGGTTATGGGACAGAGTTGACTGGAATTCTAGTGAAAAATCGTGGCCAGTGGGGTCCACCATGCCACGGCGTGAGGAAAACTACTCACCAGTGATGATATTGACTGGTGCCACTTGCACTAAAATCACGAATTATTAAAAGTTGGAATTCACAGAATAGTCATTGGATCAGGTGAATACTCTACTAGCTTGCCCTTGTAACCGGAAAATTTTGCAGTCGGATCCCAATTGGATACCTTCAGATTTTATGTAGCTAGACCAGTCACTGACATTTATAGCAGAAATGGTAACAAAGGCTTGTCCATCCGTGTTCGATGTACCCATAGACAATAACCTCTGATAGAGCAGTGTAAATTCAGCCACTGGTGGTCTTTTTGTTGTTAGAATGTTATAGTCAGTGTTCAGTATAAATATAGTCAATCAAGGTTAACCAGTTGATGGTTCAGTGGTAGCGTGGCATATGCTACTGACAACATTTATCAGTAGTATATACATATAAAGAGACGTTTATCGGCACACAAAAACATCGAATAGTGGAGAGATCGAGATTTGAAGTCAAAGAGAGGAAATCAACCAGTATATTGCAGGAAAACATAGAAGAGAGACCAAAAGCAGACCAAAATTATCACACCACGGATGATCTGTGCAAATGATGATTTAAATACAGGGCATACAAAATTTCCCTACGTGTATTATTACTATTATTATTGTATCCTTTAATTCCTAGAGGAACATAGAGCTTCAGCAGTGCGTCTCCATTCCGTTCGGTTCTCTGCTACAGTCTTCACCTGGCTCCAAGTCTGCCCACACACTTTCCTCATCTCCTCTTCACATCACCTCCTCCAAGTCACCCTTGCACTGACGACCAACTCGCCGCTTCCCTTTCGGGTTCCACTCGAGCAATGGCTTGTCTAGTGATGTCACTTGATGGTTGGTTTCCTCAGAGTATGGCCAGCCAATCCATCTCCATTTCTTCCTGCCTATTTGTTTCACAATCGGTTCCTGCTGTGTTGGTTCGCTCATTGCCAGAGATCTCTGTTGCTGATCTTTCCTGGCCGGCTGGCCATCTGATCTTGAGCGAATATTGAGCGAAGACAACTGTTAATGAAGGTCTGTAGTTTGTTTGAGATGCTCTTTATGACGCGCTGGTCAAGTCTCTGATCCGTATAGTGAGTAGCACTGACTTCACATTGGAGTTGAAGATCCGGATCTTATTTTTGATGCTGAGTAGTGCTGTTGACCTCCACACAGACTTGAGAGTAGTGAAAGCTTGTCTTGCTTTTCCGATTTCTTGCTTTGATATCCTCGTCAGTTCCGTCGGCCTGTAGTTGAAACGATGCTTCCCAGGTAGGTGGTAGAGGGGGTTGTTTCTTTCAGGTTCCTTCCATTTATTCTGGCTGATTGTTGTCTGTTGTTTTTGTTGCTGTTGGTGGTATTGGCCGGGAATCTTCATTACTTTTATTTTCTCTATGTTCACCTGAAGCATGTCCTATCTTCTGTGCATATTTCTTCTGCCAAGTTGTTGCTTTTCGCTTGCATATCTTCCAGTTTGTGGGAAATCATACATATATCAAATCGGCGAAGTCCAGATCCTCCAAGATTTTTGTGTGAGTCCATTTTATGCCTGTGTGCCTACGTGTATATCGAATTACAAAATCAAGATTCCATTACCAAGTCTCCTGTCTACTCCCGTTACAGTAGAAGGCCACATGTGGTCCAAAGATGCGTCGATTTCCAGCAATCGACGTACGCCTAAACTTTCTTCACCTAGCTGGTATGTAAACCCCGTTAAGACGGAAGACTGACTGGGCATGAGACTAGCAATCCCGGACAGGTAAAAACAACCAAAACCCCACCACTACTGAAACAAACTTCAAAAAACGAGTATGGTCTACGAGCTCATTGGTCTTGTAACCAGAAGGTCCTTGGTTCGAATCCTGGCAGTGGGTGCCTACTGCTGAGGTGTTCTTAACTAGGCTGACGAAACAGCTGTCTAGTACTCTCTGTGGCTGGTTTTCTCTCATAGTTCTCTAGCTGATGTGAGAGCTTATCATAATGAAATCCTCCAACCAATCACATTATGAGAAAGTGAGAAAAACAGCAGAATAAGGCTCATTTTTGAGGGAGAAAAAATATATATATATACATATTTACCTGTGAACAACTTGTAACAGACAAGTTAGTTGTATTATTCCCTGTCATTATAGATGACATAGCATTTGGTGGTATCATAGAGGAGAATTGTGTCAATGATAGGCCAATAGAACTGACAGGTGTAGTTGAAGTGTTCAGATTGCTGTTGTTATTATTAAACGATACTCCATAGCCTTGTGATGCTGATGATGATGATGATGATGTTGACGATGATAAGATACACGATGATGATTGTGAAATGCTGTGCATGGGATTCTTCGACAGGAAAGAATTTGGATCTACACCATGACATGAATTATTATTCATATTATCATTATTATTATTATTAGGAATTAATAAATCTGCCAAGCTGGCTATAAACATGAAAACGTGAAAATAAAAAAATAAAAATAATTAGAAGAAAGGTGAGTAAGAAACAAACTACCTCCCCCTCCCCCCACCCGGGGGAGAGGAGACTAAAAATTAAATTTAAAATACTGAATTTTCAATGTATATAAAAAGAGAACCACCTTGAATCTAGTTTACTAGTCGGTCCTAAGTTGAAGCAAAAGATGGAGGGTCGGGGGCGTTGGGTTAGCGATCTTACCACTCTGGAACATCAATCCGGTCGCTAAAGAAACTTCGACGCACAAGGAAAAAAATAATTTTAAAAAAACAAGCTTATTTTTCTTTGGTGGTGTGAAAAACTTCACGAAGCCAGTCAGTCAATGTGTTTAAAGAACAAGGTTCGGAATCTGAATACAAATGTTAAGTCTGTCAGTGCTTCTATATCTGGGTCAGAAACGTAGTGCGCGCTTCATCAAAAGCATTTCCAACAGGCTACTGCGTACTCAGTGTCTCTAAGTATGGTATGTGCTTTGCACCGCCTAAGTACAAAGTACTGTTACAAGATTGGCAGGAGCCTGTACCTGCACTGACTCTTGCGGGTGAGCCACTTGAAGTTGTTGATAAGTTTGTGTATCTGGGTAGTTGTGTGAGTGCTGGCGGAGGGGTGACGGATGAGACTTCCAACAGTATAATGAAGGCTAGGGTGGCATACATCAACTTGAGCCACCTCTGGCGCCGTCGCGACGTTAGCCTGGCTGCCAAAGGTCGGGAATACAATGCTTCGGTGCGGGCTGTCTTTCTCTACGCCTGTGAAACCTGGCCTCTCCGAGCTGAGGATGTGAGGCGACTCTGCGTGTTCGATCATCGCTGCCTCCGAAAGATTGCTTGCGTTCGATGGCATCATCGCGTGAGTAATTCTGAGGTTCGGCGGCGTGTGTTTGAACACAGTGGAGATCACCATTAGTTGAGTGTCGTCATCTAGAAACACCGGCTCCGGTGGCTTGGACATGTGCTGCGAATGTCATCTCAGAGGCTTCCGTACAGGTCTCTGTTCGCTAGCCCTGGGACGGAATGGAAAAGGCGGAGGGGTGGTCAGTCCATGACGTGGCGTCGTGGGATGAAGGATATTTGTGCTAGATTAGTATCGGTTGGTGTGTCACGACTGGCTGGTTGGGGTCCGCGAAATAGCTCGAATCGATGGCTTGAAACGTTATCGGATATGGCCAAGAATAGTAATCAATGGCGAACGTGTTGCAATTTTCTTCTTTCTTCCCTTCCTGATGATAGTTAACGAATACTGTCTGAACTTGTTAAACATGACTGTTTTCCTTCCAGATGAAGTTCTTTATCCGTTTTCTATTTATATTTTCACTTTTAATCTATGTTGTTTTATTATTATTGTGTGGCGCATCTTTCTTGATGCCATATTGTACCAAGTTTTTTCTGCGTTTAAATAAAATAATGATAAAATAAAAACTGCAGACTTTCATCAATAGCTGCCCGCTTCGCTGGCTCCATATTGAAGATCAATGACCTGTCGGAGATAATTACCAACTATGGGGACAAAACAATAACCAACCACGACCTTAAAATCCAAAAATACGTAGGATAAAATGGAGATGGATTGGATATACGCTGAGAAGACCGTCGAATGACAACATCACGCTCAATGCAGGCCAATGCTCGTAGTGGAACCCGAATGGGAAACAACGAGTTGGGAAGGTGTTCAAGAGTGACATAGAGGAGTTCGTTGGGCGAGGAAGAGATGAGAGACAGGGATTCAGTGCTAGAACGTTTACCAACCACGCACCCCAGGTAGTCCAGGATTCGATCCTCGGGGTCACTAATGCACTTCTAAGCCTTGTTAAGCCGGTACTAAGGCCAGTAAAGAAGAAAGGTAGGTCGTGAAGATAACAATCTGACCTTGTGAAAAACACATCATGGCTATTGAAAACTCCAATTTTTAGCTTGAAGCCCCATGTTCCCCTTGGAACAAAATAATAATAAAATACTGGATGGATCTCCTGAAGCTAAACTGAAAAGTCATGACCAATAGAATCTACAATGATAAAGTGAAGTGGAAACCCGTTGAACGCGTTGCTTTAGGGTGTAGAGCACAGTGTGTCTCACGAATTGTGACAAAGTTAACATTCTCAGATCATTGAATTCCTGCCCAAGTGGCTGGATAATCCAATGAGTTTGGTCTCGCGTAACCTAAAGATAGGTCCCCTGGGGAAGGGGGGGGGGTTACATTCCTGGTGGGTTTGCCGATCTGCCTTGCTTAATTATCTCAAAACAAAGATGAGACAGCTATCCAGTGCCCTCTGGTGGTTTTTTGAATGATTTCGTCAACTGGATGTTTGGTTATTCACGAAAAATCTACACTGTAAAATTAATTCCGATCCCTAGAAAAAAGCGATACAATAACAAATGAGTGATTTTTGCACAAGAATGAGATTCACTCACGCAAGAAAATGCATGAAAACACAATTAAACAGGGTATCTTGCTCTGAAATGACTTAAAAATATACCTCCCAGTAATAATGAGGAGTATCGTTTTTTTAAGTTGCACCAGTTTCTGTACATATATATTCACCGAGGTGACTTAAGACGGGCTTTATTTGTAACCCGTTTATCGCTTTTATCCTGTTTTGCAGTCTTCCCCGAAAGTCCTCGGTTGAATTACTACGGTTCCCAGTAGGAGGATCGACGACTACTTACTGGGAAAATGTGGATAAGAAAACAAATTAAAATAAATAATATCAAATCTAAATCTATTCCTAATCCTAACCCTAATCCTTACGAGATATTAATACTAATAGACAGCTGAAGGCAATCGGCCACAGGAAGCCTTGCTTGGCACTCAGTAGTCAGTCAGCAAGGCGTATCTGCAACCAGCCTGAAGGAACTCATATCCTCTCTGAGATTCGAACCGGCGTCACTGGGTGAGTGCTGCAGTCAGAGACGTTACCACTGAGCTATTCGGGCTTGCGATTGACCTCCTTAATAGACATTAGTAACTAGTGCGATGTATCTAGTCCTTACTACTGGTTACTAATCTCCAATCAAAATATCCACAACAGTCCTACAGGAAGTCAATTGCAAGCCTAAATAGCTCAGTCGTAACGTCGCAGATTGCAGCACTCACCCAGTGACGCCGGTTCGAATCTCAGAAGTGACATGAGTTCCTTCAGGCTGGTTGCAGATACGCCTTGCTGACTGACTAGTGAGTGCCAACTAGAACGAAACCTAGGTCAAGCAAGGCTTCCTGTGGCCAATTGCCTCCAACTATCTAATATCATCAAATCAATGTGCACCGTGATGGCGAGCTACCTAGAATTGTGGCCACATTGCAAACCTGACTGATAGAATTCAGTCTGCACCAAAGAAAGGACTAGACACGTCACACTAGTTACTAGTGTCCAATCAAAATATTAATACTATGTCTAAACAGTACTTAAAAACGTGATCTGGGTGACATTCGTTCCTTAGTCAGTGAATAGCGTTCATAGTTGCGCTATGATAATGACAGGTGTCGTTAGCCAGCGATTAGCATGAGTTTACGGTCATTGAAGCGTTAGCACCTCTGGGACGCTATTGTTTAACTTCGCCGAATTTGGCATGAAAAGGTGACCCCTTTGCTGAGAAAGTAATTCAAAGTTGTATGAAGCACACATCCTACACCTGATATATTCTGCAACCAGAGTGTAACTGAATAATGCGTGGATCTACTGAACATCACACGATTTGGTTGGTATATACAAGGAAAACCCAAGATGACAAAGTCTTGTATTTGTTAACATCACGGAGTTAGCCTACTCAGCCTCACTGTATGCACAAAAATCCAAACTACACTGACTGAGTTTCAACAAAGAACTTTGCATACAAGTGAAACACTTTAAGAGGAGTTCATGTGCTTTTGGAAAAGAACTGCAGGTGGTGGCCAAACCAAAACATAGAGGCTGAAGACAATTGGTGATATAGCTCAAAATCCTCGTTCTCAATGACTGTGATGCAGATGCATCCACTCCTTGTCATTTATAATCTCCAATAAAATTCTATTGTTCTTCTATATTACCATTCTTTTTGCCTCTAATCTCTGTTTATTATCTCTCTTTATTCTCTTATTTTGCTTTGAGTACTACACGGAGAGAGTGTGTGGCAAGTTGGACTGCTGCACATCTGTGCAAAGTAGTCCTACGTTCACACCAGTCAGTCAGCACCACATCAATTCGCCATATTCCATGTATCAAAGAAAAGAAGAAGATAGACAGAAAAAGAAATTTGAAGAAGAAAGAATAGTAACACATAGAGGAACCGGAAGGTCCTGGGTTCGAATCCCAGTGGGTGCATACTGCCGATGATTCCCAAACTAGTGGGATGAAACAGCTGTCCAGTACTCCCTGTGGCTGGTTTTCAATGGTTCTCTAACTGATATCAATCCGTGATCAACTCGTCAAAACAAATATAATCCTTACAAATTAATCTCTTGAAAATTATTCTGATGCTCGCTAGTGAGTGACTTGCTACAGGATGGAGTTTGGTGGAGTTCTAGTGAGAAGTCGTGACCAGTGAGGTCCAATTAGATATCACGTGTGTGGATGGATGTCCCACCAACGACAATGGTTGCGGTCGCGCTCAATCACGAATTGGTAGAAGTTAGAATTCATGAGCCATTCAATGGGGTCAGGTGCCAGCGACTGAATGGTATACGAGCTCGCCTTATAACCAGAAGCTCCTGAGTTCAAACCCCCCAAGGTGGGTGCGTACTGCCGATGATTCCCAAACTAGTGAGATGAAACAGCTGTCCAGTACTCCCTGTGGCTGGTTTTCAATGGTTCTCTAACTGATATCAATCCGTGATCAACTCGTAAGAACATGAAAACTTAATAAATCCGAGAGATTACAACGGATGAATATATATCTGCGTGTCAAACAAAACGATTTTCAATCATATATCTCTCTCCAATAGTCTCAAGTCATTGGTTCTTAGCATGCTGACGGCTGGTCTCTCTCTGTATCTCTCACTCTCTTGTTCTCCCTACCTCCCACAAAGTAGTTGGCTTAAACTAACAACACAGTATCAAAGACATGCTGGATTAATAACAGATTTTAGTTTGACTATCACCACTAGGTAAGTAATGTTGACGTTAGGCGTAGAGTGTTGGGCAAAGAGGGAAAATCAATCGAAGAGGCTATAAAGTTACATAGATTGAGATGGCTAGGTCATGTGCTGCGCATGCCTAACCATCGCCTCCCCCTCCCGACGGGCATTACTAGCTGATATAGGTGCAGGTTGGTTGGAAAAGAGTAAGTGGTGGCCAAACAAAAACATGGCCTCATCAATCCATGAAATCCTTGACAGTTAAACTGAGTCAGGTAGGTAGGGAGATGCAGACTTCCGGGTTGGGGCCCACCCTCGGGACTCTAAGAATCAATCACTGGCTGGAGACAATAGGTGACATGGCTCAAAATCGTTGTCAATGGCTTATGCAGATGTATTCAGTCTCTGTAATCTTTCATATTCCTTTCTACCATTACTCACTCTGTTTCACTCTTATACTTGTCAAAACTCTATTGATTCTCTTCATCACTCATTTTCTTGTCTACCTTTGTGTGTGCTCTTTGGAAGGTGGCAACTCGAACTGCTGCACTTCGGTGCCAAGTTCTATGTTGAATCCAGCCAGCCAGCCAGCCATTAGCACCCTCGCCTATCTAGCTAGCCCTTTTCGATATATATATATATTGATGACAAGATTAATTAAATAAATATTATAAACCAGGTGTAACAACTTACATGGTGATGTATTGAATGGATGAATCGATAATAAGGATCTGTTTTGTGGAATATCAGAGAGTGGATGATGATGATCATCTTCTCTTTCATCTTGAGTAGGTGTATCACCACCACCACTACCACCACCACAATCCGCACTATAATCTTCGTCACCATCATTGTCACAATCGCCATTATTATTATAATTTTTATAACTTGTCATTGAATGATCTCTTCTTTCCTCATAAAGATCTTGATTAAGATCACTACTATTATTAAAACTGTTTGAAATTGATAATTTCCCACTAGAAGTAGAAGAAGAAGAAGCGGAGGAAGAAGGCACTCCACTATTAGACGATAACACTGATTGTTCAGTAGTATATACAGTTAACGGTATTGTCTGTTGGTCAATAATTCCACTTTCCATGGATGGAATATCTGAAAATCTAGAACGTTTAGCAGCTGTGCATGCAGTAGATGAATAAGTAGTTGTGACCATGGTAGTATTCATAGCAGTAGATGAAGTATTCATGAATCCCTCTGTTCTTATGGTTGTTGTTGTTGTTGTTGGTGGTGGTGGTGGTACTGATTGGAGACGATAATTGGACATTTCAGTATTATTATTATTATTAGTGGTAGTAGTAGTAGTAGTGATAGGATTGATCATATTCACTTTGACAGAAGGATTAGAATGAAAAGATTCTGTAGAATTGATTAAAGTTGGAGAAGTTAATGGGATTGTACTCAAACTTGATTGTATTGGAATACTACATAAAAACAAAAAAAACAAAAAACCAATAAGGAAAAAAAATAATCTATGTGTGATGAATGCATATTTATTTTCAAATTGCCCTATAACTGTGTTCGTTCACATTAATCAATATGAGAGAGATATATATATCATCACATATGATAAATCAAATGTGACGGAGCGGACTGATAAGCAGGCGTGCTTACTGCTATAGTTTAATATATTGTTTACCCTTTCTGAGCGTCAATCTGATCTCAACTAGCGGTGTCCGACAGGGAATGCCCACTATCCCCGTTTCTATTCGATTTCATCATAGTTGTACTTACTAATGGACTTAACCCTAACTCACTTCAGAAACTCAGGGATTGACTTGTTTTATCAGGGTGTAATCTCGTTGACTTAGATAGAATATGCAGATGATATAGTCCTTCCTTCCTCCTAAGTGAAGACAATGACAAAATACAGCTGAGGCTTCTGAACGCCTTGAGTTGCAATCTACGGATGTTTGGCATACGATTCGCTCCCGCCAAATGTAAGATGATGCTACAGAACTGAACTAGACTACATTGACCCCTAGATTAGAAATAGAAAGTGAAGTGATAGAGCATGTTGACTATTTCACTTATTTCGGAAGTTGCATCAACCAACGCCAGCGGGGCGATCGCTGACAAAATCTTAGCACCGATACAGGGGGCTAGTTTCGCATATGCCAGTTTACGCCGTCTCTGGCTTAGTAGACGAGATACACGCCAATCGAACAAAAGGACGTGTGTACTGCTCAGAGCAGCAGTCCGCTCCGTCCTCCTTTTTGACTGTGTGACCTGGCTATTCACAGTGGAGAATATGAAAAGACTAGCTGTCTTTAATCATAAGTGCCTGCGTTCTGTCTCCCGCGTAAAGTAGTATAACAGGGTGAGCGATATTCAGAAATCGGTTGAGTGCTAGGTAAGGAGGGAGGAGAAACTTATCGACGAGGCTGTGAAGTTACATCGAATGAGATGGTTGAGACATGTGTTACATATGCATGCCTAGCCATCGATCGCCTTCCTCGACAACGTACAATGTTAGCTGACAAAGGGTCAGGCTGGAAAAGAGCCAGCGGTGGTCAAACCAAAACATGGCCTCATCAGTCAATGAAATCTAAAACAGTTAGTTTAAACCAGCCAGCCATGTAGGAAGGTGTAGACTGCCTAACCTACTGATTGGGGTCCTTGAGATGGAGGCTGAAGACATTAGATGATACGGCTCAAAATCCTCGTTCTCAATGACTGTGATGCAGATGCATTTACTCCTTCTGACTAATAATACCCAATGAAACTATGTTGTTCTCCTTTATTACTATCCCTTTTGTCTCATATCCCTGTCTACTGTCTCTATTTTGCATTTCTTCTTTACTTTCTTCTCTTGCTTTTTGTGCTACAAGAAGGGAGTGTGGCGACTTGAACAGCTGCACATCGGTGCAAGGTAATTCTATGTTGGAAACAGATAGACCATCTGATCTTCAGTATCAAGGCTGAGAAGGCAAGTGTTAAAAAAAAGTCTGTAGTAGTCTGTTGTAAATGCTTTTGCTGGCAACGCGTCAATTCTCTGAATTGACAACAGTATTCAAAATCCAGATGAAGGCAGATAAAGAAGGCATAATAGAAAAATATGTGAAGGCTTCCTTTGAGAATGATTTCATGATAAACCGACACTATCTGAACTTTTGTTTTTAGAGAGAAAAAACAACAACAAAACAATGCACATTATGAGCTGACATTAGTTAGAGAACCATTGGGAAACTAGTCAAAGGGAGTACTGAACACTTGTTTCGTCAGCCTAGTTTGGGGCACTTCAGCAGTACGCATCCACCACCAGGGTACAAGCCGACAACCTTCTGGTTACAAGGTCAGCAAGCTTGTAGACCATTAAGAAACCAATGGGACCCGATCCAATGGCCAGTCAGTCCATGAATTCTAGCCTACGCAAATTCATGACATAACATAGCTCGACCACTAGCCAGTGTCTTCGGCGAGTATTTGTCCTCACGTCCCATGATTTCCAGTGATCGAAACAGGTTCATTCATGTCATTCGATCCTTACAAATTCTAGAGTTTATAGACAACATAAGTATAGGATTAAACCACAGTTTCACAGCACCTCTAGATAAAGTAGCATATCCACCAATCTGGTTGTAGTAAACACACCCCAGAAGTTTGAATTCACTCTTTTACTTTTGTAAGGGACACCTCCACTTCGTTACAAGAAGGTTATGAACTTGTGACCAGATGAGAGAGAGAGAGAGTCTTTTCCATAGAAAGACCAAAGTCTATTCACTCTCAGCATCTCTTTCTCACGTTAGGTGGTATAATAAGGTAAGTAATGTTGACGTTAGGCACAGAGTGTTGGGCAGAGAGGGAAAAACAATCGACGAGGCTATGAAGTTACATAGATTAAGATGGCTAGGTCACGTGCTACGCATGCCTAACCATCGCCTCCCCCGACGGGCATTACTAGCTAATATAGGTGCACGTCGGTTGGAAAAGAGTAAGTGGTGGCCAAACAAAAACATGGCATCAATCAATCCATGAAATCCTTGACAGTTAAACTGAGTCAGGTAGGGAGATGCAGACTTCCGGGTTGGGGCCCGCCCTCGGGACTCTAAGAATCAATGGGTGACATGGCTCAAAATCGTTGTCAATGGCTTACGCAGATGTATTCAATCTCTTGTGTAATCTTTCATATTCCTTTCTACCATTACTCATTCTGTTTCACTCTTATACTTGTCAAAACTCTATTGATTCTCTTCATCACTCATCTTCTTGTCTACCTTTGTGTGTGCTATTTAGAACGTGGGAACTCGAACTGGTGCACTTCAGTGCCAAGTTCTATGTTGAATCCAGCCAGCCAGCATTCACTCTCAGAAGTACTAGGTAGTTGTTTGTCGACGTGGAGGTGGGGCGGGGTGGCAAAATAAAATCTTTACGAGATGATCATGTGTACCAGTGAAAAATACTCAAAAGTGAAATACAATTAATAATAATAACAATTAGTTAATTAATTACGGATAATTAAAACAACGTACTTCTTTATTAAATTAGAAAGACCAGTTAATCGAGAAATAATAGCAAATGGGTCTTCTGTTGAATTTTTATTATTATTATTACTGATATCATTACTATCTACAAGTGGATCACTGTTTGTTTCAAGCGCCAATGTATGACTAACTTTTGATGCATCAGAAACTGTTGAATTTGTTGTCATTTGTTGAGAAGGTACACTTGAATAATCTTTTTGTGGAGTAGATTCCTTTGATATACTAGAGGCTGGCGTTGTCGACGACGATAATGGAAAAGTAGGTAAAGACAATGATGATGATGATGGTTTTGAAAGACTCGTTTGCGTAACGACATTGGATTGACATAAATTTTTCAATAGATCAAAAGCTGAATAGTTTTGTGATTGAATCATCATTGCTGATGAAACAGCGGTAGAAGGAGGAGTAGTAGGAGCAACAGCAGCAGCAGCAGCAGCCGAGATGGTAACTGTAGGAGTGATTAAAACATTGGGTTCAATACTCTTCGTTACTAGATTATTGTTATTATTATTGTTGTTACTATTATTATTTGAGATCATATTGATTTTATCCATATACAATGATGGTGATATCGATGATTGTGCAGGAGGCGGTGGATGCAGTAGTGGAGGTGGAGGTGGCGGAGGCAGTGGCGGCGGCGGTGCTACTAGTAAAGGTATATCAGGTTTCGTTACCACTACCCCACCTCCTCCTACGCCGCCTAGTGCTGTTGGGATATGATGATAACCTGTTAATTCATTTAATGTTGAGGGTAGTGGAGGCGGTGGACTAATTGCCCGTTGACCGCCTAATACACCAACAAATTGTGGAGGTGGAGGCGGTGGAGGTATACGAATCGGTGCAGGCGTAGGAAGAGGATTTGATTGTATCGGAATGATTGGCTGAAGAATTGGTTCAGGTGGTAAAGGCCAACCGATTGGATTTTTCACAAGTAGCGGCGGCGGTGGTGGCGGCGGGATTGGTGGTCGTATACATGGAGATGGCATATTTCCAGAAGGAGCTGGTGATGATGAAAGATGAGATAACTAAAATGACAAAAATGTGGTATAAAAAGCATTTACAGTTACAAAAATGTCAAGTCCAGAATGTTTCATCAAAAATTAACAGTAAGATAACCTAAAAAGCGTTTAAAATGGTGCATAGTTGCATTTGCTCTTTTGAATCACCCAGTTTACCCCTCCCTCGTCAAAGATCCATACATGTCCCTTTTTGTGTGATACAACATAGAAGTGTGGTAATAAGTTGAACTGTTGAACACTTTTGTGCAAAGTTCTCTGTTGAAATTCAATTAGTCAATGATCTGATTGAATTCATAGTTTGGTGAATGGAGGACTAGCAGTGGATGTGGAATCCAAGATGTGCATTTCATTGCATCTCTCTGCAACTTATCAACTGGATGTGACTGCATTCACCCCAGTGAATGAATGAATGAATGATGTTGTTCCCACTGTCAATGCATTAAAACAGAGTGAACGATAAGTACTTGGTTCAGGTGGGTTCAGTGCAAGGGGAGGGGACAATATCTAGCAGTGGTTATTTTGTCGAATTTAACATATTACGTAAACACAAACCTGTTGTTTTAGGGAAATCAATCCCCATATATATACAATGTGGTACGCTCGACGGTGGTTGAACTTTAGTCTTCCCCTCAAATATGTCCTCACATACTATTTCACTACCACTTCCATGTGGCGACAGTGTTCCTCACACTAAAAGTGAAACAATGAATTCAAACATCTTAGGGGCGTACAACCAGACATGTAGCAAAGTCTATCTAGAAGAGGTTAAAAACCCTGATTATTCCAAACCCGACAGTGTATATGACCTCCAGTATCCGAATGGATCGTATGATGAATGAACCTGTTTTGGTTACCATGGGAATGCAGTTCGTCATATTGTTCCACTACCTTGTAGATTAGATTTCAAGCGAAAATCTCAAGAAGAGATGGTCCCTGTTTCGGTTCATTCGTCCGGACAGTAAGTATTCCAACTCTCCTAGAAACTATGAGATTTTGTGCGTGTGTGTGTGTGTGTGCGGCGCATCTCTTAGCACGCCCATAATGCACCAAGCTTGTGTTTTAGTAGTAATAATTTCAGAGGTTTTTATTCCTTTGCGTTCCCAGTGAAAAATAGGGGGTTTCAGGCTAGAGGCTTGAAGTTTTGGTAGCAGTGGTCTAATTATTTTTACTAAGTGAGATTACTAGTCTAGCGCCCACCCAACCTTGCCTATTCGCCAGGCTTATAAGCCTAGCTAAGCGAGGTTTGGGAATGTGTCGGTGGCCGGGCATCTAACTGATTGGCTGGTGAGAGTATTCTACCTCCATGCCACCAACGCACCACTGCAGAGTTTGTTCCGTCAAATATTGTATTTCCAAGACATATATAGGTTTTTCAGAAATACAAGAATAACTTTTTTTGTAAAAAGAAAATAACCCAGCTTATAGAACTTACTGGCTTGACTTCAAGTGGTAATTGTTGCGTAAATATACGCCAATCTTTATCTTGTGTATCTGAAGTAATAAGCAGCATAGTATTGTCAACGTTCACCTTCCTCTTATTCTTCTTCGTGTCGTCGTCTTCGGCGGCGGCGTCTACTTCAGGCTCTTCACCATCAGATACTTCCATATTGTCTTCCTCTTCTTCATCTTCATTATGTCTACCATCCTTACAAGGTGGTTCATTTTCAGTTGGTTTACGATCACTTGTTGTATCTGATACAACGTTATTAGGATTAAGTTGTTTTACAGAAAATAATTGTGTTTTATGTAAACTTTTATTATTATTATTATTACTATCACTAGATAAATCTGTATCATTGATGTTGTGTACTGGTGTATCAGGATTCAGTATACCTGAAGAATTCCTATCGACTGATAATGATGATGATGATGATTTCAATGCTTGATTGATTTCTTGACTTCTTGAAAAGAAAACAGAAAAAGTGTTGAAACCAGTTAGAAAGAAAGAATGTTAGAGTTAACCAATAATTAATATGAAACAGAACAGATTTCGATAGTTGCCTCTTCTGACGTTTTCTTTTCCCCCAGCTTCTTACATTATCAGTTTAGATGCTTCATATAGACAGCAACATTGATGACAAAGTTATTAGAAATTCATGAAGAACAAGCACCGTCTGGGAAAGTTGAAAAGTACTTTGAAGAGAGAGAGAGAGTAAACAGTACGTGGAACTGCTCAGAGGTAAACAGGTGGAGGTGAACTGCGATCCTTGGGGAATTTCAGCTGATGAGCATAATTTGTGCTTGGGCATTTAGTGACCGCCTTTCAGTGTCTGCTTAACTGCGGATGACTGCCTCTGATGGGTATGTGTGTGTGTGTGTGGTGCGCATTGGAGGATGTGGTGTATGAGTCTGCTTGTCAGCGCACTTCTTTCTCAGGGTGTTCACCACGACCGGCACTGCTGTCTGTCGACTGTAGTCAAACTGATCAGGTCTGATTAACGTTGGGTTGGCACGTGATTCACTGGTCCATTCTGTGGGCTATATAAGTGTAGCTAGCCGGTTACAGTGGATCTGTAAGGTGTGTCGGAAACGACAGCTTTGCATATGCACTATGTCCTTTCAGGCATGGTTGAGTCTGGTCGGCTAGTTTCGACTGGTGGTCAGTTGATGGCTTGATCATGTTCAGTTGGCGGTAGTTTGTGTGTGTGTGTGCCAACAGTCTATGGTGTTGTGGTAGATTATCCACCTGACCCAAAAAATGGGCTGAATTGTTCACATACATAAAAAGTGTATCATAGTCACGTACGTAATAAGATGAATAATATATAATGAATGAGGTATAAAATCAGGTTACACATAGAAATATAACAATGATTATTCCCCCCACCTCAACAAAAGCGCCTCCTCCTTTAAAGTAATCTACAAATTGAAGAATAACACCTGCAAAATACAATCAATACGCTGCATTGTTCAAGCCTTAGCCATTCTCCAGTTAGAGAGACTGGAGCTATGCATACAACAACAAAAAGAAGAATTATTCCACCTCGTTTATACGCGAAGAATAAGGGACAAAACAAATACAAAGCTGTGATAAGGTATATATAGATCTATGTAAATAAACATACATGTATGTATGTAGAGTAGAATTCAGGCCACGCAAATAATATATATATATATATATTATAACTGTTCCAAAATACACAAGTAAGACGTACAGAATTTCAGTGATGAAGTAGTCGTTTTTTTTTTGGTATACAGATGCTCACTCCAACAGACAAAGAGTACTTGAGGAGAGACACAAAAAAGGAGATTGAAACAAAGGATCCAAAAGTTGATATACAAGTAAGGTACAACGGCCATAGATGATTGGCAATAATAGAAAGCAAGCAGCTGAAAGCGGCGTCAGACAGTGGGAAACGAGAAGACAGGGATATCCTGGACCTACATGAAGAACCTAGAAGACCTGGATTTCGCGCGTGGATGATTTGTGTTTGATGTCACACAAAATCGAAGACTTACAAGCGAAAACCAACAAACTGGTCGAAGAAGCAGCCAGAGAAGACAGGACTCCAGGTGAACATAGACAAGACGGAGGTTATGAAAATAACCAACCAACCAACAACAACAATAGCAGCAACATCCACCGCCAATCACCATCAACGGGAGGGATTTGAAAGAGGTTACTTCATTCACTTATCTAGGGAGCATTGTCTCAACTACACGAGGAACGGACGGACGAGGATGTCAAATCGAGCGAGAATCGGGAAGGCGAGAAACACATTCATCAACCTGAAACCAATCTGGAAATCTTCCGCTGTCACTCAGCCTGCATCAACAACAAAGTGATTCGGATTTTCAATACAAACGTCAAGTCAGTCAGTTCTTCTATACGGATGGATCAGAAACTTGGCCAGTGTGTCACAAAGAATATTTCCAACAGCCTGTTGCAGACCTTTATCAACAACTGTCTTCGCTGGCTCTATACTCAAGATCAGATGGCCAGAAAGAAAGAATCACCAACAAGAAACAATCTACAGGAACAAACAAAACAAGAACCAATCGCCAAACAACAAATATGCAGGAGAAAGTGGAGATGGATTGGATACTCACTGGCTGAGGAGGCCACTGGGTGACATCGCGCGTCAGGCCAGTGCTCGAGTGGAACCCGAAACGGAAGCGGCGAGTGGGACGTCCAAGGGTGACATGAAGGAGATCGTGTGAAGAGGAATTGAAACAGTATGGATTAACATGGATGCAGGTGAAAAGTACACCAGAAGGCAGAAGCAAGTGGAGACGTGTAGCTGAAGCCCTATGTTCCACTAGGAACCCAAGGGAACAATAATAATAATAATACCGATGATCCCCAAACTAGTCGGATGAAAAAACTGTCCAGTACTCCCTGTGGCTGGTTTTCAATGGTTCTCTAACTGATATCAATCCGTGATCAAGTCGTAAAAACAAATGTAATCCTTACAAATTAATCTCTTGAAAATTACTCTGATGCTCGCTAGTGAGTGACTTCCTACAAGACGGAGTTTCCTGCAGTGTGTTCTAGTGAGAAGTCGTGACCAATTAGGTCCATCCAGTCAAGTGTGTGAGGATAGATGTCCCACCAATGACATTGGTTGGTGCCAGTCGCGATAAATCACGAATTGACAGAGGTTAGAATTCATGGACTAGCTGTTATATATATATATATATATATATATATATATATATATATATATATAACAATTAAAAAGTATTACAGAGAAAATTTACACCTACCTGTAGTCAGTATTCATAGTATCATTATTTGTCAGGTTACGTAATGCAGGATTTAATAATATTCTATAGTCAACATCTCCGGATGCATCACATATTGGTGGAAATATTGGAAAACCAAATGGTGAGGTTATTACTGTTGTTGTTGCTGTAGGTGTTGGTGTCACTGTCACTGTCTCTGTTGGTTTATTCAACGAATCACTGGAATCATTCAAAGGATTATTATCATGAATTGATTTTACAACAGGTGAAGGATAACTATTGATAGACATTTTCTTTGAAATACTAAATGAAGATTGATTATCAGGATTTAATTCGATTGATTGGCTTAGTTGACGATCATCATTGTCATTGTAATCAACATTATCATCATCATCATGAACATCACCATCATGAACATCATCGTCATCATCATCCCACCGGAAAATCCTCCGCCTCCAGCACTGTCATATTCATTACTTGAGTAGTATGATTCATCTAAAAGATCTCCTTTAGATTTTTCGCCTTCTAATTTATCAGTAGTAGTAGTATTGGTAGTAGTATGGTTTCCAATTGTATAATTTGGTGAGATATCATCTTTATGATTGATTATATCATTTAGTTGTGATAGGGTATTTGTTACACGTTTCCCATAGGTACCATAAGCCTATAAGAATAATAGTAAAGAGGAAAATAATATTTAAAAAAAAAACGGATGACTGAACAATAAAACTAACTGACCAATTGATTGAAGAAGTTTCCCAAAACAGAAGTGGAACACTTCAAGTTGCAACAATCTATTTAGTACACACAGATGCAAAATAAAAACTAAGACGGAGTTGTGGGGTCCAACCAGTTGGGAGTGAAAACAAATACTCACCAGCAACAGCGCATTCGCGGCTGGTGTCACAGTTACTAAATTGCGCAGAAGTTAGAATTCATGGGTTGGTCATTGAGTCAGGCCCGAGTGGCTGGAAGGCCTTTGTGTTCAAAACCCGGCAGGTGTGTACTAATGAAAACGCCTAAACCAAGGCTGATGAAACAACTGTGCACTAGTCCCTGGTGGTTCTCTAACTGTGACATCAATCCATCGGTCGGTCGGTCGGTTTTCGACATACAACTTTGCACTGACGTGCGGCAGTTCAAGTCACCACACTCCATGTAGCACAACAAAGCAACAGAAGAAAGTAGGAGAAATGCATAATATAGACAGAAAAGAGAGGTGTGAGACAAAGGAATAGTAATAACGAAAAACAAAACAGTTTAGTTGGAAATCGTAAGTCACAAAGAGTGGATGCATCTGCGCCAGCCATTGAGAACGAGGATCTTGAGCCATATCACCAATTGTTTCCAACCATTGGTTTTCACCGTCCTGAGGACCCCAACCAGTCAGGTAGCCAGTCTACATCCTCCTACGTGGCTTAGACTGACTGTTGTGGATTTCATTGACTGGTGACATGTTTTCATTTGACCGCCACTAGCTCCTTTCCAGCCTGGCCCTATATCAGCTAACACTGTTCATTGTCGAGGAAGACGATGACTAGGCATACGTAAAACATGTCCTAACCATCTCAGTCGATGTAATTTCACAGTCTCGTTGACTGATTTCCTCTCCTTACCTAGCACTCGACGCCTAACCTCAATATTGCTCACCTTATTATACCACTTCACACGGGAGATTGAACGCAGACACCCTTGATCGAACACTGCTAATCTTTTCATGTCTTCCACCCTCAATGACCAGGTCTCACAGCCATAAAGGAGGACGGAGCGGACTGCTGCTCTGAGCAGTACACACGCCCTTTGGTCGATAGTCGGATATCGCGTCTACGCCAGAGACGGCGTAAACTGGCATATGCGAAACTAGCCCTCTGTATTCGTGCTGAGATCCATAGTCAAAGTTGAAAAAGCAAGAGAGAAAAATAAAGAGATTCAAAGCGAAATATCTTTCTAGAAATTATAACATGATGATTTGTAGACACAAAAACCAGGAAAGGTAGGTGATGATCAGAGAAGAAATACACAGTCGAAAGTATTGAACATTCAATTTACTTTCAACTTCAGTGCCATCATCTATGAGACCAGAATCATGAATAAGAATCATAGGGAATGTAAAGACAGTTGCAGTGAAGAAAATATTTTTTCGACGAAGTCACCGTCAAATAGGCTGTACATTCGTGTATTTATAATAAATGGCTGAGAAAGTTCCAAAATAACTTCCGGTCAGCGGTCAAATTAATAAAATTACAAAATAGGAATTACAATGCAATAAATAAACAAGGGGGACGGATAAAACTCAAACAAAGTAGCATCATAATTACTGAGAAGATTAACAGTGATTGTGCAATTGGGGTGGAGAAATGTAGAAATGACAAAAATAGACGGGATATTTGGATAAAAAATCTAGCGGGATCATAACTAATGTGACGAATAATTGTTTATGCAAACAGGGATTAAATATGTAGAAATAATAAAATAAAATACCCAAACTTCCTGTTTGTTTATTCACGTTATTTTTAAGTTTTCCCTAATCCCTCTTTACACTACCATATTTTCTTATCCGAACTTCCTGTCTATTTCGTCGAAAAGAAGATTTTCTTCGCTGCAACTGTCTTTTTATTATTCCCTATGATCAAATGTGTATATTCCGTGATTTGAGAACAAATAAGAACCAGTTAATGTAAGTCACTCTCATGTCTGAAAGGGAAATGAACAACTCCTCTCGACATTTTGAGAGGAATTTAGCTTATGACAAAAGGACAACTGCTAAATTTCTCATAAAAAAAACATCATCAGCGTATAAGTAATACTGAAATCACACTATATGTGTCTACCTATATTTCATCTTTCTCAATGTTGATATAAATGTTAATATTAAATGTTACTGGGAAATATGAGTTATCACAACTTGCTGTATGTTCACTTTTTACCCTGTAAAATGTAAGATGATGTTGCAGGACTGGACTACACCGACCCCTAGATTAGAAATAGGCAGTGAAGTGGTAGAACACGTTGGACGCTTCACTTATTTGGGAAGTACAATCAGCCAGTGCCAACGGGTTGATCTCTGACGAAATCTCAGAATGGATACAGGGGACTAGTTTCGCATATGCCAGTTTACGCCGTCTCTGACTTGGTAGACATGATATCCGACTATCGACCAAAGGGCGTGTGTACTGCTCATCAGTCCCCACCCCGTCATCCTTTATGGCTAGGAGACCTGGCCATTGAGAGTAGAAGACATGAAATGATTAGCTGTCTTCGATCATAGGTGCCTGCGTTCTATCTCCGGTGAGAAGTGGTATAATAAGGTGAGCAATATTGAGGTTAGGCGTCGAGTGCTAGGTAAGGAGGGAGGGGAAATCAGTCAACAAGACTGTGAAATTACATCGACGGAAATGTTTCGGACATGTGTTTTCTCCTTCGAATAAAAGACACAACATTCGGTGAAATGCCCATTGTAGAGATTTCAGGATTACAGTGTGAAACAAAGACACAACTAGAAATCAGCGAATGACCTCGAATGGTTCAATGAGGTTCATGCTTGTGAGTTCAAGGTTGTATTCCGCTTGATTCGTATCAAATGCCTGCACTCACGAAGTTACGCTTGCAGCTCGATAAGGATAAGGTTTTGCAGTGTTGCCTGGATTTCGGGTTGCTTAGAAAGGAGAGGATTTGTTCATGTGGAGGTGTCATGAGTTTAAAAAGCTTTAGCAGGTCGACTGATGGATATATGTCCATAGTTGTGCACTTTGCTTGAGAAGAGTTAGTATTAGAGAAGGTAAGCTGATAATTTTAATATTTCGTAGGAACATTTTTTGCTAGGTCGCATCTCCCCCTAACTCAATTTTTGTATATTTGTAATTACTGGGTTTTAAAACAGTCTGTGAGAGGCACAGCTGCTCGAACCGAAAATAGCCTCGTGTCAACAGTTCAGTGGCACCGGCACTGCAGAGAGAATTACTTCATTGTCAGGCGAAGAAGGTGCCGTCGTACACGTGCACGAAACTGTCTTATTGAAGAGAGAGTACAACCGTGGTCGTGAGCGAGTCAACAATGTTTGGGTGATCGGTTTATATGACACCTCCCTGCAGAAAGGATTCGTGGAGAGAATTCCAGACAGAAAGTCTACTACATTAGTGCCTATTGTCACTCGACTGGTGAAACAGGGATCTGTGGTACATACTGATGAATGGGAAGGTTACAACTCGCTGTCATGCCTTGGATATATTCATCACAGAGTGAACCATTCCAGTGATTTTGTGGATTCCATTACAGGAACACACACGAATTCTATAGAAGGACTTTGGGAAAGATTAGGGCTATAAATGGGTCTCAAAAGGATCCAATTTATAGTCATTTGGATGAATATATGTGTAGAATGTGTTGTGACTTTTCTATTGACACTCCTATGCTAAACAAGGGGATGTTTCTGTCACATGTTAGAGAAAGATACCCTATGTAACAGTTTTATGCAGTTTTTATGCTTTTTTCCATAAATATACGTTTTCCTTAGTCAAAAATCCCTCTTTCATGTGATTGGTTCGTTGAAGGTAGTACGCTGATTGGTAGTTAGTGAGTGGTACTTAAAGTTTAACTTTGCCTCTAACAGGAAATAACTTGGTATAGTTCTTTGCACTAACCTTACTTGGTCATTCCATATTTTGTCGATCTCCAAGAAAATGTTCCGTCCTAGCTAATTTGTTGAGAAAGCTAAGAGAATCTGAAATCACTCAACCTCTACTTTTACAATTTGTTAGCTATTGTATCTTACCCATGATACTTTACTGCTCCCCACTATTAGTCTTTCCTGGGCTACTACTATAAAAGGACTATCTCATATTGTGAAGGGTATTAAAGGTTGTCAGTAGGCCAAGTGTTATGCAACTTAGTCAGTCACTTGTCACCACATTGGTTGACAGAAATCTGAACTCTTGTGAGAAGTGCTCTAAACTCTCTCCACCCCACGCTTTGTATCTCGTCTGGGAGAACTAGAAATCAGTACAAAACATTGTATGCTCATACTAATTTAAGTACAGGAACTCAACGATACCTTATTTGGCCAGCATGTGTTCTGTCTAGCGATAGAGAGAGAATGTTAAGCGCGAAACCCATGAATTACTTTGTTGTTAGCAAAATAATTGGCTCTCTCATTATCTCTCCTATTTCTAATCTATGCGTGAAACTATCTCAATTAACTGACAATCTTACCTATTAACAGTATTATTGTTAAAAAGATGGGTTGCAGCTAAGGAAATTTTCTTTTCGACAAAGTCATCAACTAGGCTGTACATTCGTATATGGGTGGGAAATTATTATTATTATTTCCTTTAATTCCTAGAAGAACATAGGGCTTCAGCCGTGCGTCTCCATTCCGTTCGGTTCTCTGCTAGAGTCTTCACCTGGCTCCAAGTCTGCCCACACGTTTTCATCTCCTCTTCACATGACCTCCTCCAAGTCACCCACCTTCGCACTGACGACCAACTCGCCGCTTCCCTTTCGGGTTCCACTCGAGCAATGGCTTGTCTAGTGATGTCAATTGATGGTTTCCTCAGAGTATGTCCAATCCATCTCCACTTCTTCCTACCTATTTGCTTCACAATTGGTTCCTGGTTGGTTCGCTCCCAGAGATCTCTGTTGCTGATCTATTCTGGTCGGCTTGCCATCTGATCTTGAGCGAAGACAACTGTTAATGAAGGTCTGTAGTTTGTTTGAGATGCCCTTTATGACGCGCAGTGCAAGTCTCTGATCCGTATAGTAAGCAGCAATGACTTCACATTGGAGTTGAAAATCCGGATCTTGATGATTTTTGATGCTGAGTAGTGCTGTTGACCTCCACACAGACTTGAGAGTCCTGAAAGCTTGTCTTGCCTTTCCGATGATCCTTGCTTTGATATACTCGTCAGTTCCGTTTGCCTGTAGAGAATGGGTATCCACTACGCTTTGTGTGGAGGTGTCAATAGCAAATTTTGTGGAAGAATATTACAGATAATCCTATACAGCAGTTTAGTATTGCCGCTGACTGTCAAACTTCAACACACACATACAAACATATATATACACACAAGAAAACTGTTATTGTTATTGTCTATTGTAATTCATATATACATATACACAACTGTACAGCTATGAAAATGAAATAGTCGAAAATAGAATTTTCTTTGCTAAATTCTTTGTTTTCATGTCTTAATGGGGAATTAAATGTAAGAATAAAGTGAAGGAAGGGCGTGGGAAGGAGTGAGTGCACAAAAAAGGGATTTGACTTACATTCACAACAACGGCAACTTCTTTCAATTGAACATTATAGTATAATTCAGCTGATTCAAGTAAACTTTGTAAGGCGATCATTTCATCTAGACGTTCTTGACACTTCTGATGCATAAATTCTAAATGTTTACAACATTTACCAACCTATATAATAATAATAATAAAATCATATTTTACAAATAAATACAATATATCAGTAGTGAGAACAATAACAATAATATTAATAATAATAAAGTGAACTCTAATCTTAAAAATAAGGAGTGAAGTGGTTGCTCAACGTGTTGACCACTTTACCTCTATCCAAGGTTACATCAGCCTCAGAGGACTGATTACTGCTGATGAAATCCATACTTTGAATAGACGGTAGGTAGTAACTAGTATCATGCATTTTGTCCTTTGTTTGGTGGTGTTTGGAAGAAAGGATACTTATTCAAACTACCAAAGAAAGAAGACTTAAGTCAATGCAAGAACTGCTCCTGTCCATCCCAAGCAAAATACTAAGCCGCATCATCCTGGAGAGAATCAAACATGCCAACCTGGATGAAAAACTTCGACCGGAACAGGCTGGATTCAGGAGAAACAAGTCATGCATTGATCAGATCGCCACATTACGGATCATCATTGAACAAAGCTTGGAATGGTAGTCACCTCTCTATCTTAACTGAATCGAATTTGAAAAGGCCTTCGACAGCGTCGATCGAGAGGTGAATTGGAAACTACTTCGCTACTACCAAGGGGTGCCACCGATAATTATACATCTCATCCAACAGCTGTACGACAATGCTACATGCCAAGTAATCCACAACGGGAAACTTACGGAATCCTTCGAAGTGAGGACAGGAGTAAGACAATCTGGCTGCCTACTATCGCCAATGATTTTCCTGATTACGGTAGACTGGATAATGCGACAAACAGCGGGCAATGAGGAAACAGGCATAAAATGGACTCACACAAAAAACTTGGAGGATCTGGACTTCACCGATGATATATGTCTGATTTCCCACAAACTGGAAGATATGCAAGCGAAAAGCAACAAGTTGGCAGAAGAAGCATCAAAGATAGGACTTCAGGTGAACATAGAGAAAACAGAGGTGATGAAGATTCCTGGACAACACCACCAACAGCACACAACAACAGAAAACAATCAGCATAAATGGAAGGAACCTGAAAGAAACAACCTCCTTTACCAACTACCTGGGAAGCATCGTTTCAACTACAGGCGAAACTGACGAGGATATCAAAGCAAGGATCGGAAAAGCAAGACAAGCTTTCACTACTCTCAAGTCTGTGTGGAGGTCAACAGCACTACTCAGCATCAAAAATAAGATCCGGATTTTCAACTCCAATGTGAAGTCAGTGCTACTCACTATACGGATCAGAGACTTGGCCAGCGCGTCATAAAGAGCATCTCAAACAAACTACAGACCTTCTTTAACAGTTGTCTTCGCTCAATACTCAAGATCAGATGGCCAGCGGCCAGAAAAGATCAGCAACAGAGATCTCTGGCAATGAGCGAACCAACCCAGCAGGAACCGATTGTGAAACAAATAGGCAGGAAGAAATGGAGATGGATTGGCTGGCCATACTCTGAGGAAACCAACCATCAAGTGACATCACTAGACAAGCCATTGCTCGAGTGGAACCCGAAAGGGAAGCGGCGAGTTGGTCGTCAGTGTGAAGGTGGGGTGACTTGGAGGAGGTCATGTGAAGAGGAGATGAAAACGTGTGGGCAGACTTGGAGCCAGGTGAAGACTCTAGCAGAGAACCGAACGGAATGGAGACGCACGACTGACGCCCTATGTTCCTCTAGGAATTAAAGGAAACAATAATAATAATAGTTGGTGCAGACTGAGTTCTACCAGTCAAGTTAGTATCTAGTATTCAGTCAAAGTATCCATTACAGTCGTAAAGGAGGTCGATTGTGAGTTTGAATAGCCCAGTGGTAAGGTGTTTGGTTGCAGCACTGGGTGGGTGACACAAGTTCGAATCTCAGAAGAAGGAACACATAAGTACTTTCAAGGTGATTGCCGCCGATACATGCTTTATTGACTCGTGAGTACCAACAAGCACGAAACCTAGGTGAAGCAATGCTGCTTGTTGATTTCTTCCAAATGTCTAGTATGGTCAATAGATACACAATCTGAATAAAACCCTGTCTACCATTATACAAACCTTATTTTTACATGCTTTTTTTACAAAGCCCATGAACTGTATTGCCAAACGAACAATACACTGATTCCTTAATAGTTTAGATATGCGATTTGTTTAGCTTTGAGTTACTAGTTTAGGCAGCTGGTTCGTAATCTTCACCGTCTGTCGAAACCTCCTCTTATAACAGGTGTGACTGATTTTCAACTCCGTTTAAATTCACGTGTTAGTTGTTAAGATAAGCTTTATATAATCAAGTTAATCTAGGAAAGTTGAATTTAATTGATGTTGTGCCTATTTCACAATGTCATTGAACATAGAATTTTGAACAGAAATTCACCATTTTCAACTTGTTACACTTCATGAAGAGCACATTTAGCATTGATTTAATAGATGTGAGGATCCACATAGAATGAATGCATCTGCACCACTTGTCCCCAACCAGACAGTCTACACCACCACCCTATGTGGCTAGATCAAACTAACTGTCATTAAAATAAGTCCATGGATTGATTGATTCTTTTCCAACTTGATCCTATGCCAGTGGCTAACATTCCTGTCGAGAAAACCACTGACTGGGTATATCTATCACATGGCCTAACTATCTCAACTGATTTAACATTGTAATCTCATATTATTATTATTATTGTTCCCTTGGGTTCCTAGTGGAACATAGAGCTTCAACTACACGTCTCCACTTGCTTCTGTCTTCTGGTGTACTTTTCACCTGCATCCATGTTAGTCCATACTGTTTCAATTCCTCTTCACACGATCTCCTCCATGTCACCCTTGGACGTCCCACTCGCCGCTTCCCTTTCGGGTTCCACTCGAGCACTGGCCTGACGCGCGATGTCACCCAGTGGCCTCCTCAGCCAGTGAGTGTCCAATCCATCTCCACTTTCTCCTGCATATTTGTTGGGCGATTGGTTCTTGTTTTGTTTGTTCCCATAGTTTCTTGTTGGTTATTCTTTCCGGCCATCTGATCTTGAGTATAGAGCCAGCGAAGACAGTTGTTGATAAAAGTCTGCAACAGGCTGTTGGAAATATTCTTTGTGACACACTGGCCAAGTTTCTGATCCATCCGTATAGAAGAACTGACTGACTTGACGTTTGTATTGAAAATCCGAATCACTTTGTTGTTGATGCAGGCTGAGTGACAGCGGAAGATTTCCAGATTGGTTTCAGGTTGATGGATGTGTTTCTCGCCTTCCCGATTCTCGATTTGACATCCTCGTCCGTTCCTCGTGTAGTTGAGACAATGCTCCCTAGATAAGTGAATGAATGAGGTAACCTCTTTCAAATCCCTCCCGTTGATGGTGATTGGCAGTGGATGTTGCTGTTGTTGTTGTTGGTGGTGGTGGTGGCTGGTTATTTTCATAACCTCCGTCTTGTCTATGTTCACCTGGAGTCCTGTCTTTGCTGCTTCTTCCACCAGTTTGTTGGTTTTCGCTTGTAAGTCTTCGATTTTGTGTGACATCAAACATAAATCATCCACGCGCGAAATCCAGGTATTTTAGGTTCTTCACGTCGGTCCAGGATATTCCTGTCTTCTCGTTTCCCACTCACTGTCTGACGCATAATCCAGTCCACCACAATTAGGAATATCATTGGTGATAATAAGCACTCTCGTCTGACTCCTGTGTTTACTCCAAACTTGTAATCTAATACCTAACACTTAACCGTAGACTAACACCCCAGGGTATATAGAGAGAATGTAAACACCTGATTAAAGACAGCTAGCCTTCACACAGGCACACACACACACAATGTAAACGATTGTCTGGTTATTTGCATTGTTAACTCTAATGGCATCTTTGATAGTGTTTTTTTTATACTCTCTATGGGATTCTATCGAATTCATTAAAATTGCTATCAGTTGATTTAATCATAAGTGAACCTTTCTTATCATCATCTATCTTTAGTATGAGTGATTTTAAACAAATACAAGTTATACTACTCATTACTTTTATTTAAGTAACACAATTGGTTACTACAAAAATAAAGCGTGTAATAATAACAACAATAATAACAATACAATGTTTAAAACGGCTTTTTGTTTTCTTCCAGCTTGTTTTCACAGTATCTCATATGAGGTTTTCATATAATCAACAGTTGGAGTAAAATAATTATTCAAAGTATACTCAGCCTTATCCATGAGGTGTAAAATGAGTCCATCTTATAATGTAGACAGTTGTAGTAGTTGTTCTTGTTGTATCGCGTTAATTAAAATTTCGTCATCAACAACAACAACAATAGTGTATGGTAACGTTATATCACAAATTCATGGGTCACTGAATACCCACCGAGGAGTAGTTGAATGGTCAAGAAGCTGGCATCGTAACTTCAATGGTATCCAGTACACTGCCTGTTGACGTCATTGTTAAAGAGTCTCAAACTAGGACGAAACGATTGTCCACCTGGAGTCCTGTCTTTGCTGCTTCTTCGACCAGTTTGTCGGTTTTCGCTTGTAAGTCTTCGACTTTCGGTGACATCAAACATAAATCATACACGCGCGAAATCCAGGTCTTCTAGGTTCTTCATGTAGGTCCAGGATATCCCTGTCTTCTCGTTTCCTACTGTCTGACACATAATCCAGTCCACCACAATTAGGAATATCATTGGTGATAATAAGCACCCTTGTCTGACTTCTGTGTTTACTCCAAACGCCTCGCTGAGTTTTTCGTTTTTGGATCACTTGAAATGTGCCATTGTCGTACAGCTGTTGAATAAGGTTGACGAATATTTGGGGTACGCCGTAGTACTCGAGTAGTTTCCAAATAACTTCGCAGTCAACGCTGTCGAAGGCCTTCTCAAAGTCTATAAAGTTGAGGTAAATGTTTGATTGCCATTCCATGCTTTGTTCGATGATGATGTGTAGAGTTGCAATTTGGTCAGAACATGATTTGCCTTTCCTGAATCCAGCTTGTTCTGGTCGGAGTTCTGTATCCAGTGCGTCCTTTATTCTCTCCAGGATGATGCGACTCAGTATTTTACTTGGCGTTGACAGCAGCATGATTCCTCGCCAGTTCTTGCAGAGTCCTAGGTCGCTCTTCTTTGCTAGTTTCACTAGGTAACCTTTCCTCCAGTCAGTAGGCACCTTTCCCTCCTTCCAGACGTTTTACAATAATGGAGTCAATAATTCCATTATGGATAAAATTTATTTTGATAAAGGAGTGTTAATGAAGCAGGAATTAGTATGGTGGCATTCAAACCCACAAAACTCACTCAGGTAGGACAAGCTCTGTAGGCTAAAGGACACTGTCGGTTGACCCAATTAGACAAAATAATGCAATTTACAAAATACCTTAACAATGACTGTGAGTTAAGTCAATTTACATAGGTCAGTCAGACGACTAGAGTGGGGGTAATCAGATTGTCAGAATTGCATCAATTAAAGCTTTTCACACTCCATATAACAACACAAAGGTACAAAAGAGACAAAATTTAAAAGAATACTATAATAAATAGGAATGTAAAGACAGTTGCAGTGAAGAAAATTTTCTTTTCGACGAAGTCACCGTCAACAAGGCTGTACATTCGTGTATTTATAATAAATGGGTAGGAAGGTTCCAAAATTATTTCCGGTCAAGGGTCAAGTTAATAAAATTACAAAATAGGAATTACAATGCCATAAATAAACACGGGGGACGGATGAAACTCAAACAAAGTAGCATCATAATTACTGAGAAGATTGACAATGATTGTGCAATTGGGGGTTAGAAATGTAAAAATAACAAAAATAGACAGGATGTTTGGATAAAAAATCTTGTGGGATCATAACTAATGTGACGAATAATTGTTTAAGCAATCAGGGATTAAATATGTAGAAATGATAAAATGACGAAATAGACAGGAAGTTCGGATGTGAAAAATTTGGTAGTGTAAATAGGGATTAAGAAAAACGTAAAAATAACATGAATAAACAAACAGGAAGTTTGGATAAGAAAGTCAATGGGATAGTCACTATTAGAAGAATTATTTGTTTATGATGGCCACGACAGGGACAAGGGTTGAACGTATTTCTTTCGGATACACAGCGTGGGTTTGAGCTTTTAGATGGCTAGTGCCTCGGCTATGTCCAGATGATGATGATGATTTCGTCGAAAAAAAATATTTTCTTCGCTGCAACTGTCTTTTTATTCCCTATGATCAAATGTGTATATTCCGTGATTTGAAAATAGGAATATACGGGACTGAGGCCAAATTTTGACTGGACCACCTCTCCAAATACACCTCGTACCCTACCCTAATCCTTCTCTAACTTAATCCCATTTCGCTTGACAAAGAAGGCGGTGGCTTAGCATGCGTAACATGTGTCCTAGTTGCCTCTTCAGCTAATATTATTCCAAAAACCAAAACAGGTGTATATTACTCTGAAATCAATCAGTACTTATCAAAAGATCTCAAATCAGGATTTCTGTTCGATTCACAGACTTGGTGTACGCGTCACTAAAAGCACTTCCAACAGTTCAATGAAGGCTTTCACCAACAAGAATTGTCATCCAGTACTCACAGATATATCAGGTCAGAAAGAATTAGCAAAAGAAAGGACTCTGGGGAAATGAACCAGTATAGAACCTTTTGTTCAACAAATGTTTAGAAGGAAATAGAAATGGATTAGAATACACTACAGTGAGGAGACATCTCATCGATGGACAAACATACGCAAGGTCTTCAAATAGGAGAAAAAACACCCAAGCGGTAAGCAATAAGTTGAAAGTCTGAAAGTGTGACATTTGAATGAGATGATGTGAATAGAAGGAAATGAAAATTTGTATTCAGTGTATAGAGATAGTTAGCCGGCTGTTGTTTGTTGTGGTTGAAAGCAATGGCAGAGAACTGAATACACTGGAGATGTACGACTGAAGACTTATGCTGCACTCAGAACACGCAGAATTATTATTACTATTCCCTTGCGTTCCGAGTGGAACATAGGGCTTCAACAACATATCTCCACTTTGTTCTGTTCTCTGCCGTCCTCTTCAGCTGGGTCCATGATTGACCAAAATCTCTCACCTCTTCATCACACGATCTCCTCCATGTCACCCTAGCATCGACGACCCACTCGTCGCTTCCCATTGGGATTCCACTGGAGCCATGGCCTTGTGTGCGATGTCATTCGGCGGCCTCCTCAATGTATGCCCGATCCATCTCCACTTTCTCCTACATATTTGTTGAGCAATCTGCTCCTGTTTGATTTGTTCCCATAGTTTCTTGTTGCTTATTCTAGTTAACTAGCTCGCTAGTTTTCTGGCCGGTCCCAATCCCCTCGTAAAGAGGGAGGGTTGGGCGTGGGGGCTAGCAACCCCACACCACTAAATCTTTCAAACCACTAGAGAAACTTCAACATACAGAAAATATATTGAAAATACAAAAACTTCAAAATACAAATCTTATTCTTCGCTCGAATCGAAGAGGTGAAATGACGTGGACTGGTGGAAGCCTTTGGGAAGGCAGTCAGTCAGCCGATGTGTCTTCTCTTGATGAAATCAAGAGTTAGAATGGGCACGTGGAATATCCGTACAATGTACGAGGCTGGTTGGGAAGACTGCCCAGGTAGACAAAGAAATGCGAAGATATGCCATAGAAGTATGAGGTATCCGCGAAAGCAGATGGAATGGATGTGGACTGACAACATTATCAACGGGAGAGTCAATAATCTACTCCGGTCACCCAGATGACAACCACGAACACGCAGAATAAATAGCAATAATCGTATAATAAAAAGAAACTAAGAGTAGGCATAATAATAATAATATCATTAGTCTAAAGACGAATTTGTGCCAACTGGCCTGAATTAGATGCCAGATGCCCCATGCTTTCAACTACGTTATACTACTACTTCTACTACTCGTTACAGGTTAAGTAAATGATACATATTTAAGCTATAAAAATCTTTCTACAAAAAAAAGTAATAATAATAGTAATGTTGTAACAGCCTACCTGATCAGTTAAAGTTCTACTTTCATCTTTACTCTTCAATGAACTAACAGTATTTACTATCGGTGTACCAAATCCAATTGCACTGATATCAAATTTCCCGTGTAGATCACATAAATCATCTAATTGTTTTATTTTTCGTAAAGTTTCAAGTAGTTTTTCAGGCTGATAAAGAGATCAAAAAAATAATATATATATATATATATATACACATAAAATGAAAATATTTCAGTAGGGCAATATTGGTAATTTGAAAAAGAAAACGGTTAAATATACATTGTCATCTAATAAACACTTCACAATTTCATGTGGGGGTGCTCGATGTCCAGAGATGACAAGGTGTTCGAGGATCGAGCTGTTGCTATTCTTCTTTTCTCCTCTGGCCAACCAAGCTGGGCAGTGTTCCAGAATACGTTTGTGGACTTGACGTTGCGTACGGCCAATATACTTTGCTCCACACGAGCAAGTGAATTGATAAATACACATTGAGGTGGCCAAAAGCGGTATCTTGTCCTTAGCGTTAGACTGGATTAACTGTCTGCAGGAGAATGTGATACGCAGAGTAGCTGTTGGAAATGTCTTCTTCAGACATTTAGAAAGGCGGTTTCTGAGAATTTCTGCTGCGACATCACCTTTGAATTCTAGGTTCATGAAGAGAGTCTTCTTAGGAACCGTTGCGATGTTTGACACCGGAGGCTTCTCCTTCATGTTTTTTTCAATAAATCTTGGAGGATACCCATTCTCTAGTAGGGTTTTACGTAATAAATTTAATTCTTTCTCTATCGTGTCTTCGGAGCAGATTTTTCTAATCCTTGAGCACAACGTACGTACCAGGTTTCTCTTTCGGATTAGTGGGACAAAGCTCTGGAAGTTGATAAACTGTCCAGTCCATGTCGGCTTGCGGTATATTGATCTTTGGATCGTACAGTCGTGTCGTCTGGTGAGTAGTACATCAAGGAATGGAAATGCGTTGTTCGATTCTCTTTCTAAGGTGAAACTTATTGATGGATGCGCTGCATTGAAGGTTTTGAGGAGAGAATCTAAATCACAATTTTCATCACAGATTATAAACGTGTCATCTACGTATCTCTTGTATAAGTGCAGTTGACTTATCAAGGGATTGAGGATGTTGTTTTCTAGACTCGCCATGAAGCAGTGGGCTAGGAGTGGAGCGAGAGGAGACCCCATGGCTACCCCATCTTTCTGCACATAGAACTTTTCATTGAATTTGAACTGGATATTGAACGTACATCTGAGAAGAAGTTCCTTCAGTTCCTTCACAATTTAAATTTGAATATGTGGTGACTAACAACACTAGAATCCAAGCATGCGACATTTTTTGCCTATTTACAACTGAACGCACCTGGATGTATACCTGAATTCTAAATTGGGCAAACTTAAAGAACATGTTACATCATAGCCGAAATCACAGTAACCTACCTTGAACAATTAATCAGACTTCAAATGCGAAAAAATTGTATTATCATTGAAAAAAACACAAAAAAAACACCAACACTTTACACAGTTCTCGTTCTGCCTTATGTGTTGTTTGTGTAAGAATATCTCTCTCAGTACCTACACAAATGATGTAACCGTCCGTAGAAGACGAAAGACGTCGTAAAGGAATGTTTATTTGAAAAAACTGGTATCTCTACACAGCCAAAATATAATGTACACCTTCAACATCTTCAACGCACAATTTGCACAGATCATCCGTGATGTGCTACTTCTGGCCTTCATATTGTGTCTCTCTTTGGGCTCCTTTCACGTCTTTCATTTGCCTTCTTTGACATCAGATATATCTCCTTGCTTATTTGATGTATTTACGTGCTGATGAACATCTCTTTAGATACTACTGGTAAATCTTATATCAGTAGCGCCCACCACAATATCATGCACGATAATATGCATTTCATCCAGGTGACTGTAAGTCATGGCACAGAAAAAGTGACTAGTAAATAAGTGGACTAGTGTATCTGCCGCACTGACGTGCGGCAGATACACTAGTCGCCACACTCCCTCCTTGTAGCACACGAACAAGAGAAGAAAGTAGAAGAAATGCATAATACAGCCAGTAAACAGAGGTGTGAAACAAAGTAATAGTAATAACGAAGAACAACATAGTTTGATTGGAAATTATAAGTCACAAGGAGTGAATGCATCTGCACCAGTCATTGAGAACGAGGATTTTCAGCCATATCACCTAATGTCTCCAGCCTCCATTGGTTTTTACTGTCCCGAGAACCCCAACCAGTCAGGAAGCTAGTCTACACCTTCCTACATGGCTGGCTTAAACTAACTGTTGTCCATTTCATTGACTGATGAGGCCATGTTTTCGTTTGACCGCCGCTAGCTCTTTTCTAACCTGACTCTATGTCAGCTAACATTGCCCATCGAGGAAGGCGATGGCTAGGCATGCGTGCTTAACGCATGTCCTAACTATCCCAGTCGATGTAATTTCACAGTCTCGTTGACTGATTTCCCCTCCTTACCTAGCACTCGACGCCTAACCTCAATATTGTTCACCTTATTATACCACTTCACGTAGGAGATAGAACGCAGACACCTATGATTGAAAGCAGCTAATCTTTTCATGTCTTCCGCTCTCAATGGATAGGTCTCACAGCCATAAAGGAGGACGGAGCGGACTGCTGTTCTGAGCAGTACACACCTCCTTTTGTTCGATAGCCAGCCGGATATCACGTCTACTAAGCCAGAGACGGCGTAAACTGGCATATGCGAAACTAGCCCTCTGTATCCGTGCTGAGATTTCGTCACAGATCAACCCGTTGGCACTGGCTGGTTGTACTTCCCAAGTAAGTGAAGCGGTCAACGTGCTCTTCACTTCCTATTTCTAATCTAGGAGTCGGTGTAGTCCTGTGACATTATCTTGCATTTGGTGGGAGCGAATCGCACGCCAAACATTCGTAGATAGTGTGTATATACCCTAGCCAACAACTCCAAAAAAGACAGGGATGATTTGATATGGAATGACATTATTTCATAGCATTCCCTGTATTTGATCGGTTGTTCTTGAAAGTCAACTTTTGAAAGACCTTAACACTTTGCCTATGATACTTTAACTTCAACCCCAAAAAAGGAATTAAATAACTTCAGAATTAAGACGAACTAACTATCCATTATCCTCCTCCTCTTCTGAATTGTGTACAAATCTATCTTTTGGATTAGGGTAGTGTAATCAACTTTCAGATAAATCATGACATTAGGATAATCTTAGAATATATAGAAAATCAAAACAAATGATTCAGCGAAGAGACTCTTTTCAACGAATTTATCATCAAGCTGTACAATTTTAGAATATGCAGATGATATAGTCTTTCCTTCTTCCTAAGTGAAGACAATGACAAAATACAGCTGAGGCTTCTGAACGCCTTGAGTTGCGATCTACGAATGTTTGGCATGCGATTTGCTCCTGCCAAATGTAAGATGATGCTACAGAACTGAACTGGACTACATTGACCCCTAGATTAGAAATAGGAAGTGAAGTGGTAGAGCACGTTGACCGCTTCACTTACTTGGGAAGTACAATCAGCCAGTGCCAACGGGTTGATCCGTGACGAAATCTTAGCACGGATACAGAGGGCTAGTTCCGCATATGCCAGTTTACGTCTCTGGCTTAGTAGACGCGATATCCGACTATCGACCAAAGGGCGTGTGTACTGCTCAGAGCAGCAGTCCGCTCCGTCCTCCTTTATGGCTGTGAGACCTGGCCACTGAGAGCGGAAGACATGAAAAGATTAGCTGTCTTTGATCATAGGTGTCTGCGTTCTATCTCCTACGTGAAGTGGTATAATAAGGTGTGGCAGCTCGAACTGGTGCACTCCCGTGCAACTGTTCCATGCTGAAACCAGTCAGTCACAAGTTGACATTATATTTGAAATAAATTAAATCTCTATAAACTCTAATACTTTGACATTTATGTAATCGAGCAAAGAATATCCTTTTCGATAATTTCCTCTTCGTGCTCAACAATTATATATATATGTTTATATGCAGAGAATATTCTAGAATAGTAGTCAATAGCAATATTAGTGTTTTTTAAATTAATATCGATTTGTTAAGTAAGATAAGTGGAATTACAATTCGATGATATTAGATGGTTGGGGGCAATCGGCCACAGGAAGCCTTGCTTGACCTAGGTTTCGTGTTAGTTGGCACTCACAAGTCAGTCAGCAAGGCGTATTCGCAACCTTGAAGGAACTCATGTCACTTCTGAGATTCGAACCCGCGTCACCCAGTGCCGCCTGCAGTCAGAGACGTTACCACTGAGCTATTCAGGCTCACGATTGACCTCCTGTAGGACTGTAGTAGATATTTTGATTTGACACTAGTAACTAGTGTGACGTGTCTAGTCTTTTTTTTGGTGCAGACTGAATTCTATTAGTCAGGTTTGTAATATGGCCACCATTAAAGATGCTTAAATTGTAATAATAATAATAAAGATATAATAGCAAATAGGATATCAACTAAAATTAGGGAAATTTCCACAAAAATTGAGGATCATTCAAACCTAGATGGTCAAGGTAAGAATAATGTCTGAACTAATTTCTTTTGGATGCACAAATTAGGCTTCTTAATGTGAATCCTAACAACCAACCTCAGCAATATTTAGAAATCGAACTCTTAAGGCGAAGTTAAGATTTGTTGGTATGCGGTAAATGACTTTGAAAGCCTGGTTAACATCAATCTTGTGTTCTGTATCCACAAGATGAGATAGAATAGCGCTACTTAACCAACCACACAGGGTGATGTTCGGAAATCCGACAATAAACACGCCTAACTGTACGGCCTATGCAACTAACTGGCTCCACAGTAGCAGTTAAATTGGTAGATACACATACCAGAAATAATGCTGGTGAAGAGGAAAGGTTGGGCATGAGGCTAGCAACCCTATCCTGTAAAATAAACACTGCTACAGAAACTTCAAGCCTCTAGCTTGGAGCCCTATGTTCCACTGGGGAAAGTGAAAAAAAAAAAACATAGAAGAGGCGAAATTAGGCAGTTTACTTTTACCTCCGAACGCAAAATAGGGGTGGTTGGCTTTGAAGACAAAGAGTAATTCAACAGCATTAAACACTATTTTTACCGCATTCCTAAGGCATTGTGTTAATATCTCGTTGATATTATCCCCGAGGAACTGAGTTTGTAAGAATAAGTGCTTTTTAGGAACTGTTGGTATCTTGGGCTGCCTTGATTTTAGATTTATATTCTTATCAATAAACTTTTCTGCATAATCGTTTTCGCTCAGCAACCGTTTAATATAATTAATTTCGTCATCAAGACATTCATCCGAGCAAACTGCTCTTGCTCTGTGGACCAAGTACTTTATCAGATTGCGTTTGTATTTTAAGGGCACGAAGCTGAGAAAATGAGTATACTGATTATGAGCAATAGTTTGTGCTCGAAACGTCATCAGTTAATATAAATGTACTACACTGTGTGATTTATCAAAATAAAAATCTTATCCATTATGGAAGTATACTGACCAGTTGATGTAGATTTTCTATATACACTTCTTCGTATTATGCCATCCTCTTTCCTGGTCATAAGGATGTCTAGAAATGAAATACTAGAGTCTATTTATTTCTCAATAGTAAAATTTATCGCAGGATAAACCTCGTTAAATTTATCCAGGATGTTCTTTGCTGCCTTCCCATTTTTCATAATCAAAAAGTATCATCCATGTACCAACAATAAAATTCGAGTTCATCAATAACATCTTTTAAAAGCCCATTTTCTAGTTCCACAAGGAAAAGGTCGGCTAGAATGGGTCCTAGTGATAACGCCATTGCCACACCATCGACCTGTCTACATAGTTCCTTATTAAATAAAAAGTGGACATTCATTGCACATTTCAAGAGAAGCTCTTTCATAAAAGATATAAGGATACCAACATTGATGTATCGTCTTATGAGTTCTTCGCATACAAAGTTCACTGTTTCCATAAGTGGTAAATTGGTATCCTTTACACTGTGTTTTACCAACTCGGTATGAAGAGGCTATAAGAGTTCGACTAACCATTTCGGTATGGTGAATTTAACAAATCTAATACTCGTCGAAGCCGTACACCATTTTTGTGCACTTTAGGCGAGCCATATAGTCTTGGTGTGAACGTTCCGGCACGTTTAAGTGATGTGTACTGACTCGGTGAGATGAAGCCTTGCTGTTTCAGTCTTCTCAATGTTTCAGCTAATTGTTTCTCTATCTTTTCAATCGGATCCAGAGAAGAGGAGATATTTTGGAATTTTAGATTATCATTAGGAATAATATTCATCTTCTCAAAGTAATCCACTTTGTTCACGATAACCACTCCTGAGCCCTTATCCGGTTTTACTTTACAAATCGATATTATTTTAAAAAATACTAATATTGTTATTGACTATTCTGGAATATTCTATGTGTATAAGCATATATATATAACTGTAGAGCCAGAAGAGGAGGAAATTACCGAAAAGGAGATTCTTTACTCACTCATCTAATCATCGTTAGTGATTTGCCACAGGATGAGATTGCCTGATGAGAAAGTGTGACCAGTAGGGTTCATCATGACGAGCATGAGAACAATAATAATAATAATAGCTTTATTCCAAACAGTATTTGTGGTACAGGTATGGAATTTTCAGCATACATTACAATATTGCATCTAATTACCTCATTAATTTTATAAGATTTAAAATAAAAAGCAACAACAACAAAAAGATAAAAGAAATAAAAGAACATTCACACACACCACAGGATATGAAATATAAAATTAATGTGTAACAGAATATGTGAGCAACAATATAATAGTAACAAAGAAAGGAGAACAAAAGCTAATGGGAACTATTTGTTAGAGTGCCTCAGTAAGGTGATCGTGTCATGCCTAACAGTTTTCTCATCACATAACAGCTGTGCCAGATAAGGTATTGTGGAGTTTTGTACTTGGTAGTCCTGGCATATAGCCTCCTATAGTTGCTTCTAGTTCTACCAGATGAAATGCAAGGAGGGAGCTGCGTATAGAGAGGGTGTTCGGGGTCTGACAATATAGAATTCGCTAGTTTCTTACATGACATTATATGTCTATCCACAATGGTGTTAACCAGTTGGTTTAACGAAATCCCACTTCCCCTACTAACTACTTTTAGTGCCCTACACAGCAAAGCAAATCTTTTTTAAGTAGTCCAGGAAAGATTAATGGGGAGCAGTAAAGAGGGATGGTTAGAATACAAGAGTTGACAAACTGAGAAAGCAAAGACTGCTTAATACCAGACTGCCTTAACTTCCTAACGTAGAACGTTAAACGAAACATCTTTCTAGTAACTAGCAAGATGTGAGAGGACCAGGAAAGATCAGAGGAAATACTCAGTCCAAGGTACTTGACATTAGATGTAGTTTCAACCTCTATGCCGTCAATGATAGTGGGATCATGTGGGCTAGCTAGTTGTTGTAGGTCACGTTTTCGTCTGAAAGTGAAATTTACTATCTGACATTTAGACGGATTCAGTTTAAGACCGTTTGAAGAGGACCACTGACTAATTTCCGAGAGAAAGTTATTTAATTTGGAACAGTCTGACTGAGAGTTGACAGGCATGGAGACAGAGAGGTCATCAGCATACTTGACAAAAGTGGCTACAACTTCTCGCTGATGAAATTGACTGGTCGTCGCGTTAAAATCATGAACTGAAAGAAGCTGAAATTTATGGGCTAACCATTGGATATATATATATATATATATATATATAATTATTAACAGCTAACTTACATTGAAATTTTTAACCATATCATCTGCATTATTATGCCACACTGGTGATGTTACATTCTTTTTTTCAACTTGTTCTGTAGTATCTAAGAATAGACAAATAAAATGTGTACACACAGAGGTATATTGGAAGAAAAGAAAAAAAACAAAAAACAAAGACATAATTGTATATTTAAACTTACTTATTCTTTGTAAAAGTTGTTCTGTAAATTTAACATCAAACACTTTTCGATAAGTCCAATAATTAATCAATTTTGTTAATTTAGTTATAAATGGTCCAGATCTAATAGTGTGCGTGTGTGTGTGTGTGTGAATATATTAAACAATTAAGCTTACTTTAAAAATTGTGTTGCTTCTATGACAAAAGGTTTTAATACTTCTCCAAATTCTGAAACACCATATTTACAACTTTTAGTCAAGATTTCATTTGCTACATAGAGTAAAGCCAACTGGAAACTTGGATTATTTGCTAATACAAAAAAAAAAAAAATGAAAACAGAGAGAAATTTGTTTTATATGTGTATTATTATAAAGAAGATATTTTGTGATACTACTAATATATATTAACATTCTTAATGAAATTGTGTTACGTTATAAATGTGTCAGCAGAAGTTATGAAATAATTACTGACATGTTTATGATGCGATAAGCATACAGTGGTGATTAGCTTGACTAATATGCTATCTAAAGTTCTAGGCTCAATAATCATGTGTAGACTAAGTGATGCTGCTCGGGAGAAACAAACACGAGGAAATCAGGCAAGCTTTAGACCAAGAAAAGAGTGTATTGCATTCATATCTTCACGCTTCGATAGATTCTAGAACATAGGCATACCTACCAGTGTTCAACAATTGTCATATTTCTTGATCTACCTGAAAGCGGTATTCGATTCCATCGAGCGGAAGGCACTCTGGTGATGCTTTGCTGTGAAAGGAATGCCGAGAAAATACATAGCACTACATTTTACTCAAACTCATGCAGCCAGCCATGTGAGAGCCTACGGAGAGTTGTCATCTGAAGTGGTGACAAACAATGGTGTGCATCAGGGATTCTAAACCACTGCCCCCATTTCTGTTTAACTTCATCATACATGCAATAATGGAATTAACTGCAACTGCTGACTTCAGTGATTGACTTGTTACCAGGGTATAATCTCGTTGACTTAGAATATGCATACAGATGATATAGTCCTTCTGGGTGAATACGCCGACAAAATACAGAATTCGGATTACATTGAGGAGCGGCAATCTTCGAATGTTTGCCATACGATTCGCTTCTGCTGTCAAATGTAAGATGATGCTACAGGACTGGACTACATTGACACCTAGCTTAAAAGTAGGCAGATGTGAAGTGAAAGCTGAGCATGTTGACCACTTCACTTATTTGAGTAGTTGCCTCCAAAGCCTCAGGATGGTCGGGGGTGGGTGCCTTGCACTGCGGGTTGGCCACCCCTCCGCACACCTCTTGAAATGCTCCCATATGACCGGGCGTCTTACATAGCCTCTCCTGAGGAAGTCCTACTCACTGCCTTCACGTGGCGGAGGTGTTTTTCACCAAAGTGAGAGGGCGAAAGCGGATGCCCGGCGCTCTTCACCGGGTTGACTGTCCATTGGATGACAGTCTAGGGGAGATGGCTAAACCCTGATTCCAAACCTCCAACGACTGGCGTATGAAGCTCACTGGAGCTCACCGGCAGACGTATGGACAAAGGGCTTGTTGGATGTCTTGGATGTCTGGCCCCATTCAAAAAGGCGTATGAACCGAACTCCGGTCACCGGCTGCCAATGGATAGTGGACTCCCTACTCCACTCCTACTGCCTTGTAGGTCACACTTGGTTGTGTAAAGTCTAGAGCTGCACTCTCAAACAAAAGGCCGAGTGATTCTGGGGACATCACTCGTACCAAATTCCCAAGAAACTTTATGAACTCTCTTACTCCAGTACTGGTGCAACAACGTCGCCTTCGGTGGTTTGGCCATGTTCTGCGCCGACCAGATGACGATCTGGTTAAATCAGTTCCAAATCCCTCGCGATTACCATCTTGGCGATGTCGCAGGGGTGGACAGCTGAAAACATGGCTTGGTACAGTCAAGGCTGATATGGAATGCCTGGGGCTACAAACCGTCTACGCACTCCATCGGTGGAACAAGAATTGGATAACCCTGTCGCAAAACCTTGCATCAGATCGCCGCGCCTGGGCAGCGATGATTCGAGATGTTCATGAAGCCGGTTCATCCTCCCGTAGGAGATAGCCGAAGTAAAGTAAAGTAAGTAAGTAGTTGCATCAGCCAACACCAATGGGTTGGATACGGAACGCTCGTTTAGTATTCGCCAAATTACGCCATCCCTGGCTTCGTAAACGTGATATCTGACTGGCTGTCATCCAAAGGGCTTGTGTATTGCTCAGCAGCTACCTTAGTTCTTTATACTTGTGAGACATTGCCATTGAAAGATACAAAAAGGTTAGCTGTCTTTCATCATAGGTGTCTGCGTTTTATCTCCAGTGTTGTGGTAGGTGAAATAGGGTGAATAATATTGAGGTTAGGCTTAAATCAAGTGTTAGGTAAGGAGAGAAAATCGATCGATAAGGTTGTTAAGTTACACATAATGAGACGGCTAGGGCATGTGTTACAGATGCACGCCTAGCCACCAATCGTCTACCTTAACGGGCAGTGTTAGCTGACTGATATAGGATCGATCAGGGTGGAAAAGAGCCAACTAGTGGTGGTCAAACCAAAACATATCTCCATCAGTCAATGAAATCCACAACAGTTGGTTTAATTTATGAAGGCAGGTGTAGACCTCGTGACAGGTTGGGGTCTTCCGGATGCTAAGAACCAATGAAAGCTGGAGACAATTGGTGATGTGGCTCAAAATCCTCGTTCTCAATGGCTGGCGCAGATGCTTTCACTATTCGTGATTTACGTATGCCTAGTCATCGCCTTCCTCGACGGGCAATGTTAGCTGATATAGGGCCAGGCTGGAAAAGAGCTAGCGGCGGTCATACGAAAACATGGCACCAGTCAATGAAATCTACAACAGTTAGTCTAAGCCACGTAGGAGGATGTAGACTTCCTGGTTGGGGTCCTCGGGACGGTAAAAACTAATGGTTGTAAACAATTGGTGACGTCGCTCAAAATCATTCTCAATGGCGCAGATGCATCCACTCTTTGTGACTTATGATTTCCAATTAAACTGTTCTGTTCTCCGTTATTACTATTCCTTTGTCTCACACCTCTGTTTACTGACTATATTATGCATTTCTTCTACTTTCTTTTCTTGCTTTGTGTGCTACATGGAGTGTGGCGACTTGAATTGCCGCATATGTGCATAGTTCTATGTCGAAAACCGACCGATTTGTGATTTATAATATCCAGTAAGGGTCTACTGTCCTTCAATATTACTAATGTTATTTTTCCCTTACCCATACTGCTGCTGGATTCAACATAGAACTTGGCACCGAAGTGCAGCAGTTCGAGTTGCCACGTTCCAAATAGCACACAAAGGTAGACAGGAAAATGAGAGAAGAGAATCAATAGAATTTAGATAAGTATAAGAGTGAAACAGAATGAGTAATGGTAGAAAGAAATATGAAAGATTACAGAGACTGAATACATCTGCATAAGCCATTGACAAAGATTTTGAGCCATGTCACCTATTGTCTCCAGCCAGTGATTCTTAGAGTCCCGAGGGCGGGCCCCAACCCGGAAGTCTACATCTCCCTACCTGACTCAGTTTAACTGTCAGGGATTTCATGGATTGATGCCATGTTTTTGTTTGGCCACCACTTACTCTTTTCCAACCAACCTGCACCTATATCAGCTAGTAATGCCCGTCGGGGGAGACGATGGTTAGGCATGCGCAGCACCTTACCCATACTTATGCTGATGATCTCTTTTTAACCGATTTTTATTCTCTTTTCTTGCTTTGTGTGCTACATGGGGAGGGTGTGTGGCAACTCGAACTGCTGCACTTATGTACAAACTTCTATGTTGAAACCAGTCAGTCAATCACAAGAATATATGCTATGGCAACTGTCAACATGAAGGAGAAAGGTAACTCAATCCTTTTCGGATATAAATATGCAAAAGAAAATTAACCAATAACAACTGTATATAACTTCAGGTCATGTAATGCATCTCCGTGTTCCTTCGTAAATAGGATGTTGACAGGCTGTTGGCTATTTTGAGAATGGTAACATGAGTTAATTAGGGTTCTTTTAAATCTCTCTAGCTTCCACTTAGACGAAGGAATTAACTTGTTTGTCTGGGCAAATGAGTTTTCAAATTGAACGTCAGTCTCTAAATGATTAACCCGACTACGTCCGTTACAGAATCCTAGACCAAGAGATATGAGGCTTCTAATTGTGTCTTATCCAAGCATACATAGGAGAAGATAAAGCATACTTGTCCTACAATATACTTACCGAAAAAATTGTAATTTGTCTCTACTGGCTATTGTAGACTAAAAACAATGGATTTATATAATTGTGGAACCTGAAGAGGAATTCATTGAAGACAACTGCATGTGTTGTTCTACGTCGCTATTTTCCTATTGATTATTCAATTTAGTTATATGGGCTTAACTAATTTAGCTAGTGGGTAGTAAAGTCAGGGACATTAAAATAATGCAGTCTTAGTCACAAGCCGTACACGTTATTTGAACCGTTTTCAAGTCTGAATAAGGAAATGTGAAACACTATACAAAATGACACTCATCTATTTGAAACATCACAATCTTCTTAAGATACAAAAAGCATTCACTGAGTGGATTCTAATGGTTTTCGACTAGCCCATCTTTTGTCGTGCCTGCATCATATAAAAGTGGTAAGCCTAACTGTAACAAATATTTCTAAATAACTTATACTGTATAGAATCATATGAATGTCTAGTGAATGTCTAATGACCGATAAAAATGTGCAGACCAGTTCACATTGGTGATAGCAAAATGCTGTAAAATCGTCTACTATTCTTGAGACAAATTTTTCTACCTTACATCAAGTAACCTGTAGAAATGTCTGTCACATTCCCAAATGGCCCTGCACTCAGGATTTTGGGAGCAGCCCGTGAACCAGTACTTCAGCTGAGGATTTATTTCAAGTTGTTTACGCGAACCTTGACGCTACATTCTGGGTATGGAAAAAATACAAGGCTTTAAAAACTCCAATTGGAGTGGTCATTTGAATAACACGACTCTTGATTAGTGACCTGGTCCGAAATCTGTTTAATTTTACTCATTTTGCTAAAAGTTAACCATTTAGACTCCTTAAGTTGATCACTTATTTAAAGTTTATGGAATGAGTTGTGCGCTCGACTTGAGCTCTATGAACATCGAGGACACCACGGCGCACGAAGGGTCATATCTCAAAAATCCACATTAAATCAAGGAAAACGAGATGTAGACTAGTTTATGAGGTGACTAGAATATGATGGAACAAATGTGAATGACATGAGTATACATTTTAGCTTACTATTTTTGAATACTTCAAGCCATTGGTTTGAGATGAAATCGGAATGTTCTGCTTGAGTGAGCAAAAACGACGCAGCATCCTTGACATGCTTGGATGACAAATTGACTGCATTTAGTTTGTGTTTTATCTGGTCTCTTAGCAACGCACCAGAATCCATCGAGTAACATTTGACAACAGTTGAAGTGACCGGAACTATACTTTACCTTGAGCAAATGCGTTTAAACACAACCCCTTCAGTGACACAGAACGAGACATAAGATATTTCCAGCCTTGAGGCTACCTCGTTTATTGTAAAAAAGATTTTACTGATAGCATTCATAATTTAGGATATATATTCTCAGCTGAAAAATATCGATGCTATGTGCGAAATCTCCTCTTGGGATCTTAGTCATAATGTATTTGACATTGCTGTTAGTTTCATTGTAACTTTTGACTTGTCTCTATTGAAATGCTCTTACTTTCCGCTTCAGTAGGTACCTCAATACTGAATCAGCGAGAAATAATTCTGAAAAACTATTATGATGGAAATAATGTGTCTGAAACCAAACGAGACAACACACCCTACGATAAATGCAGATAAATTCATTATTCTTGCATCGCCCTAGCACCATTTTCGCATAATTGTAAGCTTTTGAGCCACGTAGAGCAGCTAAAATGTTTAGTCTAATTCATTCATACATTCTTGCCAATTCAAACAACGAACTTGTTAATTAAGATTTACTAGTTTAATCAAGAAATGAAGGCAAGATTGTTCAATGTATAAGGCAGTCGTGGGCTTGTAATGACATGGTTGGCAAGCCCAAATTACATCTCCTTTCTCTGTCCTTTTTGTGCGTGTTCTGTTCCTGCATGAATCTTCTTCATACGTTTTTTCCCCCTTGTGAATTTGAATCAAGTATGAACAACAGTTTCGCAGAATAGTTTGGTACCATCATTTATTTCGTTGGCTTCTCATCGGCTGCCTGCAGACTAAAAAATTGCCATCAAACACACCGAAGTTTATCTGATATAATTGAATAACTGATCGATAACGTGGCTTGTGGCGGAAATGATTTACTGACACTTCAGAAATCAAAAGCAAATCTGGCTGCATTATGCCCTCGACGCAGTCGTGTGACCCATCACCAAGTGTCTGTCTAGAATCAATTATCAAATGTGAGAGCATAAATGACCATTTTGCCGCAGAGGTGGTTAAGAGGATTATGTCCTCAGATAATGTCTTGGCTTATAGCATTCCAGAGAAGTAGCCTATTGCAAAACCTAAAACTGTACCACTCTAGGCTTGTAATATGTCAATAACAGACTGTTACGTTAAGTGTCTTCGCAAGAAATCTGTATACCGCTAATGTCCAGTGCTTTTAAAGTTTAGGTCAACTGAAGAAGCTGGGAATTTTCTGATATCTAGTAAAATTATAGGATCTTCAACACTAACTACACTAACATTAGGGTTGTATTTGATAAAACATCATGCCAAAGGACGGTGCCGTTCATGAACACTAAATGCTGACAACTCTGATGGCGAAATTATAGGCGATGTTACATGCATTATGTACCTGATGAATGGGTACATCAGACACCATCGCAGGCAGAGACAAATTTCAGTAAGGTAATATAGAAAGACTGCTGCAGACACTGAAATGGTAGAAAGATATGAATCAGTAGTACATAATGCTGAAACACTTCGTTTGCGCCAAGAGCCAGGAAACACCAAAATCGATCCCACTCATATCCCACCTTTCTCCTCATAAATCAGTTACCCCCAGTTTGACGGTCCATCTACTGTGAAATAACAGTCATTTCAGTAGACTAAGCTATCAAAGGTAGGCCTAACTGGTCTCAAGTGGAAAGCCAATTATATGCAACCACTACTTCTAGATAAGCAACACAGAGAGGTTATCGGTATTATTCTGCTCATCCACTGCGCAAACTCATTGTTAGCAGGCCCCTTTGAATGTCCTACCAACTGAATTTTATAGATCCCCTAAACATCAGCTACAGACTACGTTCAGAAGGCTAAATAAGCCCATAGAATCCACTCATACATCTTATGTATTTAGTAGGGAGCATATGCCGATGCATGCACAAAACTTGCTATAGTCTGATTGCTACCCTAAACAGGCACCAACATTTCATCCCTATTCCGGCAACAAATTACCGAACACTCATATCGATTATACCTTTCACAACAACACTGCCCCTACTTGCGGCTTCGGGCAGGATTTTCACCAGCGTCAGTTGACAGAAACACCTGGCATCATGCATATAACACGCATGATATTGGATTAATTTCTTGCTGGCATAATAAACAATCTACAGCTAGGGTAAGGCATATTTCCCGGGAGATAGCTGACACAGCGTTGGCACCAGACGTGGATGCCTCTCTCTCCCACTGCATACCCTACACAAGCGACAGACCGCCCCTGACTATCACAACACCACAAGCCTACCTATGGTCTTCCAGTGATCCAACGATACTGGTAAATGAGTCCAAAAACATGTGTACAGGTGATAGTCACGGAGTATTTTATCAAGACGTTGTTCGCACACTGAAACTAAGTAGTCAGTGTTTTCTTTTATCCTCCTAAATGCCAGATCACTTCTGAGCAAACAAATAACAGTGCATTTGTGGCGAGAGCTGGCCGCAAGGCAAAATCGCAGACAACAATTTAGTTCAGTGTTTGCTTCCCAAACCAGGGTCATAAGGAAAACAATAACAAAGCTTAACCTTGAGAAAATCACTAGCCGATCACAGCGGAGTTAACGTGTAGAAATATGATTCACAGAAAAATGGCTTGATTTCCTGGGAAACGGCCATAAAAGGGTGACAGAATGAATATTATAATAAAGGCTTTGTATTTCCTAGTGAATGAAAAACAAAACGATATTGTTTTTACTGACGTTTCTCTATTTAATAATAATAATAATAATAGTATATTCTCATTTTTTACATGAGGGACACCAGTTTACAGGCATCATCACTTCGATAAATTACACATACGATTAGTAAATATAGTTAGTAATGATAATATAATAGGGTACATATTTGTTCATACAAATATAGGAAAAACAAGTTCTATAGGAATGGATAAGAATTATTTAAGTTACATATTTAAATTACATGATTTACGGTTAAATAACATGGTTGCTGTCATTTTATCTTTAGTTTGTGGGGAAAATCGGATAACTGGTGATTCAATGGAACACACCAACAAATATAGAGATATTGACTTCGCATTAACAAAAAAAAACCCAAGTATGCGTTGGATGGATTACATACACTTGGGAAAATAAATAAAGCTTGAAGTCAATTCCCTCATAAAACAATAAAATGCGTCTTACAATAATATATTCCCACTTTATGCACATGAGGGACTCCAGTTGACAGGCATCAACAATATGGTAACAATGCACACATGGAGTAAACATGTTTAAAATTTTCCACTAACACAAAATATATATACAAGGTAAGATAATGAAATATTGACCGTAAGTACACTCTGCATAAGTTAAAACAGTTTATATGGCATAATCCTAGGCACAATTATTGTTTGAATTTGCTGAACATGAGCGAAACAACTGAGTGTTGCGTTACATTCGGTCGATATGGTGGGCTAGTCACAAAAGTATAAAAATGGCTTATAAAACGTTACTCAGTTTACCGTAAACGATGTTTTATGCAATATAAACTGCAAACGGCTCACCACAGCAGTTAGTATCCAGTTAAACATGCAGAGAAGTAATCATAATTCAGCAACTTGTGAATTTTTATTCTTTTCTGTCTGGAACCTGAGTAACTGCGAACCAATCCATACAAAAATGTCGAAAGAGGCATGCAGGAGCAGAATTTTGCCATCGAATGAGTCATTGGTATCTGAGATGCAGCTATCAGCATATTTTCGTCATTTCATAGATATCCAGATTTATTGACGCTGTATAGGTTGTGATTTGGATTTGTCATCATGATCGACATATGGACGAATATTCAAAATCGGAATAAAACTTGTTTGCCTTTCGGATTTATTTAATTACATCGCGTGTTGGGTTTGATTACTCTGCGATTTTGATATATTCCGTGGTGTCGCCGTGATTATGGGAAGTGTGCATATGCTTTAAATGCATTACTTTGTTGGCTGCAATCCCCACTGAGTGTATACAACGGGAACTGTGGATTTATGTATTTGCTCATAACTGTGGATAAAATATCGCCGCATTCCTTTTGGAAAGGAGACCAGTTGGTGGATTATAAATAATGTCCAAGTAACTTATATCCTTCCATGTGATGTTGTGGTAAGTCTCGACCTTGTTTTCTCATACTTCATTCATATGTTGATTATGGTTCAGGCTTTGTATCAGGTAGACATAATTCGATCGACTCTTATTTGTATGAGTGTTATTTCCATGACTGCTGCTTGTTTGTCTGAAATTATAGATAAAGGCAAAAGAAACAACAGGTGTAGTCTCTAAGTTCATACATTAAATGGGCCTATAATTTCTGAAGCTCTTACATGGGAATTAGCACTGGTATCACTTACAAACCCACTTAGTGTGTCATTAAGAGCTTTTTCAAAGGACACTAGTGAGCTTGCTAGTCGCATTTAATACTAATAACCTCATCAGAGTAAACTTCATCAAGAAAACAATTAACCAGAAGAGGTTGCTTCCCTGCTGACAATAACGCTAATAATAATGCACATAAAAATCTAAAAATACTTGTTGATTTTCTCACTAAACGATCTATTGTCTGGCCCTTGTCTTCTGTCTTTACACATTAGCTTTTGCATGGAGACTGTCATTGATATTGATCACTGAAGCCTGGTGCACAAGTGATATCTCCAATGATAGACTAAGGATTGATAAATACAACCTTTTTCGAGGGGACAGACAGAGAGGTCGTGGGGGTGAACACTAATTTACTGTGAACAATCCATGTGTGCGACCAAGTTCAGTAACCCAATTCTGTCACAACTCAATGACTCCATCTGGGTTGAAATAAAAGTTTTCAGAAGTAAACCTATACTTGTGGGTTGCGTGTACCGAACCCCTTCATCCAACAGGGAATATGATAATATGCTCAGTAATATTTTTAATGTCACAGCCAATCTTTCCTACAGTTATAAAATTATCGGAGGTGATTTCAACATGCCAGAAGTATCATGG